TGCTGAGTTTACCTTCCGTTTGCTGCCATCTTGACCTTGTGGTAGTAGGAGCTGTCTCATTCATCAACAGCAAACTCAAGTTCTTGCTGTAGGGGGGGAATTCTGAAGCCCCCAAAATACTGTGCGAAAGACCCAAGAGCTCCGTCTTACTTCCGCTTCCTGCCAATCACATCCCGCTTCCTGTCGTGGCACAAACAAGAACAAATAAATATTCATTTGAATGGATGTGCGGCATAATTGTAGCCATTGTGGCTTCCTCTGTGGCCCCGATGATAATTTGGGTTCCGTTTTCTGAGGTAATATTTAGGCCCATTCTTCCGCCTCTCAGTGGCATCGTCTCTACACACCCGAGCCGTCTCGGTAATAAACGGCAGCCATAACCGTTTATTACCGTTTATTACCGAGAAACCATAACAAAAAAGGCTGTGTGTGTGGTGTTGACAGAGCAACAATGGACACCGTTGTGTTGTATTTAGAGTGGACTGGTAAGCAAAAATGCATGCAGGGCGAAATTGATTGTTTGTGGCATCCCCCCATCGGTTCCTGTCTGGTTCTGTGGCTGACCCAGTTCCAAGGCTGTCTCACTTCCATCCTCTCCTAACAATGGAGGGAGCGGGGGGGAGAGGGGTGCATGCAGGGGCAAGAGGGGACAGGTCTGAACAGGACACTGGGCAGCCACACGGCGTCTTTTACCACTGCAGACCACGCAGAGCCCATCCCTGGAAACGGAAAGATAATGATTGAAGAGCGATGTGTGGTGTGAAATTGGCATTTAGGAAAGTACAAAGAGCCGCTCTCTGGCTGTCCACGACACACGCAGTCCTAGAATTGGCCCGTTTGGCTCATGGCCAAGGACTCAGCTTGGGAAAGCAACGGGGGCCCAGAACAGGACACAGAGACCGAAACCGAGAAGAGGGGGGAGAGCGAGAGGGAGACTGAAGAGCCCAGATAAAATTCCATTGTTTATTTGCCTGACCCTGTCCTTCTATCCTCTTCTGCATACATCCCTCCCTTTGCCATCAACCCCTTCCTGGTCTCCTTCAGTCCTGGAATCCGGCACAATCGTGCTTAAGAGCACCGAGTCAAGGCAGCTTACTGTGAAATCTCCGTATCAAACCAAGCCCTCGCTGCGGATGGGGCAGCTTGGCAGCGCTCTAACAGAATTGGCTGTGCATAAATAGTCTTTGCGGCCCATTTCAGTATAAGGACAACGAGAGGCTATAAGGATTAAAAACCAGTCGTCCTCCATCATACTTTTGTACCCGCAACTCAAAGACTCAGTGGGAATGAAAGAGACAAGTGAAAAGAGGGAAAGACGGGAAGGAAAAAAGCAGTTTGCAGTTTCCAGAAAGAGCGTGCAGTGCTGCGTTAAATTGATCGCAGGGAAGGCTTTGGCAAATGCTTTAGTAGGGGACAGGGTCCTCCACTCAATGTGGCTGCAGGAAGAAAAAGTACATTTTTTCACTAGCTGTCGTGTTGTCTCTCCTGTCCCAGTCATCAAACCTCACTCACAAGATGCACAGTGGTTTCGGGGGCCGACTCTTTTTTGTTTGTGCCCCGTGTTTTATGTGACTTCATGTCCCGATAAGTGTGAAGTGCAGCGTGGGCTGAGAGCGACTGTTTCCTTTTTAGGTCTTTTCCAAATGACAGGGAGAAAAATAGTGCAGCTTTAGGGAAGAACAAGCACGGGGTGGTGATGTCACGGTGTAAGCTGTTTCTGCAGGGCTGCACGGAGGGAGGGGGGGGGATGAAATCTTTATGAGAAGCAGCTGTTGGGGAGAGGCAGGACTCCAGAGCACTACTGCAGCTCGCTGACAACAAGTGAAGGGTCCGATAAAGCCAGCTGCGAAACACTGACAGCACCACCTGCATACGGCAAAACGTCCAAATGTCACTGGAAGAGTTTCTATGTTTCATGTGCAGTATGCGAGGTGTCTTTTTTTATACTTTATCACTGATTAAATAATTCCTCCGGTCCTGATGAGAGAGCGGTCGCAAGCTAACTTTTAATGGACACAGCTTGATGGAACTCATCGTAGTAATTGTGTGTGTGTGCGTGTGTCATTGAATGACTCATTGTGTTAGCTCAGTCTAACACAAACCAGTGTGTCGTCTACGTCTGCATGCTGAGTGGTCTGTGTGCTGGCTAACAAGCTGTACACAAGTGTGCAAGAAGCCTTTGTGGAGCTGGGATTCATTTACAGCTCCATGACCTGGTCGTGGTCAAATATTATTTAGTAATATAGTGAAAGTTACACTAATCCCAATCATCACATCACACACTCTTTGGAATGAAATTGTCAGTCGACTGGCCCGTTCATTTGTCCATCTCTTTGTGTGGATGTGGATGTTCTTTTATCTTTTGCCTTCTTCAGATCAGTACTTCCGTATGACAGGAGAACTATATGGCACATGGAAGTAATACATGAATTAATACAAACCACAACCACAAGCTGATGTGGAACAGCCTCTGTGGAGCAGAGGATCTGCCCTTTGGATACGCTGCCCCCCAATGATACACTCAAACATTGTAACTTTGGCCCCATTCGTGGTCAAAATGACCAAATGTTTGTATTGATGTGATACCCAGTGTCCATCCACACATTCCCACAGGGTTTGTTTGGACCCTGACTGCTGCTATCGCTCTGTGCTAAAGGCTTGTAATGTAGGTACTGACTGCAGGCCACCCTTTATAGAACATATCGCTGTAATTGTTCTTATCTGAAGATCATTTGGAAAATACGGTGGAACCAGGAATAGTCAGCTGGGGATTCTGGGTATTGAAGGTGCTTTTGTAAATTGTCTCTCTTAATGTTATTCATGGCATCTTTTACCACCCCTTCCTCTGCCACTGTGTCTATGGCCCCTCGTGTCACACCACCGCGGGGCCGTTTCCAGTCTTGTTTTAATTGCCCTCAGCAGATGGCCTCACCATTGTTATGGCGGCCATCTTGCTCTGAGGGTCAGAAGCCAATGGCTGTAGAAGACAAAAGTCTTCGCTGCTCCCGGAAAAAAAGAGTTTCCTCACTAACCGAACGCCGTAAAACTGGCAGCGCCGTCAAAACCGTCACGCTTTTACAAGCTGCGAACATATACTTCTTCTCCAGGTCAGGCGGGTGTCTGGCCTATGGGAAATTGTGTGTCGGAATTGCGTGAAAATACCGAATGACCTCTTAAGGCACTCTAGTGTCCCCTGAACAGCACTCTGTGTTTGTGCCGTAGGGCCTCAAACAATAGAACGGGACGGCCCCCAAAGCCCACACTGTTTCCCAACGCAACTGTATACTGCTATTATTCTTTGCAATATCCACTTACCTCTTTAGTTTTGACGACCGCTGTCTCCCCGACCCCCTCCTCCCACCTTCTCCCTCCCATCGGCTCCTCTCCCCCTGTGATATCCAACCCGCCTCCCACCCTCCCCAACCTAGAGAAAAAACGTAACTAGGAGGCTCTTTACATTCTGTACGGGCCCCCTTGCCCACCCTCCTTTTCTCATGCAGCATTTCTGGGATGGACTTTTAGTAAAAGAATCAGGAGGAGGAGGAAGGGGGAAAATAATCGGTTGATGTTTCCCCTCAAACATGTGACCTCTGCTCGGCTCACAGCTGAAAATAATTTGGGCCTACAGGCCGGTGGATGGCTGACGCAAACTCTCCTCCTCTCTTGGGGGGGCTAGGCCACAGAATGACGGGGGCTGGAGGGGGGGTTCTAAGGACAATGCAATGTCCTGTAAGCTGAGCTGGGAGCTAAAGAAAAATGTACATTCAATCTACTTCTCACTGCGTTGTGTCCGTTCGTTCTTTCATTCTTCAAGAGAAAAAAAAGAGTAAAATCCCGGAGTAATTCCGAACACTGCACCCAGAGGGACAATTAAGTTGTCAACTCGGGGAAGACTTCTGCTATTTAGCTGCAATTCCTTTTTTTTTTTTTTTTACGTAACCCACCAAAATTGTGGCAACGATTTGTGGAATTCAGCTGAAGAAGGGTCACATTCTAGACCCAGTCCGGGCTTAATGGAGGAAAGTGTCCAGGTTTTCTGGGTGAAGATCGGACGTTGGGGGGGGGTTTGGTCCACGCCGTGCACAGGAAATGTTTAACGGCCTACGGATACCCCAAGTGTCCCAGCACATCTGGTTAAAGGACATGCACACACATCCATGATTTGGTCTGCAGCATGAACCTTTTTGGCAGGGGGTGTAGATCTGTGTAGGTGTGTTTTCATATGAGGTTTTATTCCTTTTGAGTATGCAGCCGGGTGGCACAGGATGTATTAGTGTAGTGTAGTGTGTATTAGTGTGAAAGTACTAAGAATAAACATGGCCCGACCTTTCCCCCTATTCCAAGTCAACCACATCTGTGGCGGGCAGAGGCTCAGCCCTTTAGCTCCATGCTAACCCTCCAAAACCGTTAAACGGCCAACGGAGCGCTGTGCGCCGGCGGCTCTAACTCGGTTACATAGGAATGGAAGTGGATCCAGTTGTATTAAATTGTGACAAATGTACTAAAGAATAATTTTCCCCCCTCCCAGTCGCCTTGGCGCTACTTCTCCCTAATAACGAGCAGAGGGAAATGTGATGTGCCAGCAGACACGCGCCGCATTACCAAAGCTATTTTCTGGAATGTAAGGAGAGTTTGCGGAAAATACTTGTGCAAAAACAAAAAATGTACGCGCTGTTTCTTCTCTTCTTGAAAATACCCCAGAAACCTCTCTGAGTGAGTTGAACCAAGTTCCTTTCTCTGGTTTCCAGCTTTCAGTTATGTTTTTTCCATGGGAGCTTAATTATATTACAGCGTGGCATTTGATTTTATTCAATACATTTTTCATAGTGCCACATGGATGCTGTACCATTATGTGTAAAAGTTTGGTTTTCAGCCGTGTCCTCCGATTGCTAATCAATCGGCATTCACATGTGTCTTAACAGACTTTTACCTTCCACGCAACGCACTCAGCCCGTTATACAAGTGTGCTAACTGACTGTCTCTCCTGTGTGCCTGTGCAGGATGCCGGCTGCTAGCACCATGACCGGTGGGAGGGTCCTGCTGCTCTGTACAAACTCTGACAACTGTATCTACCAATCAGTCAACGGGTAGGTACCCTTAAAAGGACAATGCAACACATCAACCTCCTAATGCCTCTCTGACCATCTTCTGTCACCCTTGCAGGATTCATTAGTGCCGTTTAGATTGTAATGAAGGGATTTGTGTGTCAATGACACAGGGTTGTCTAGTGGAAGGTTTAGAAGTCTGTTCTTTTTGGGGCGATGCCATGTTGCTGCAGCTACCATCGTAGATAAAGATCACTAAAGTTGTTATTTTGTGCGTCTTTGTTTTCGCTCGGGCCCATTTCAAACCCTTTCTCTCAGCAGCGTATCCTGTGTTCGCTCGGCTGGTTAGAGATACTTTCTCCATCAGGGGGCCCTCATCTTCGTTGCCCAATCATCCGCAAACAAAATCACACTTTTGTGGCGTATTCGCCATTCCATTTCCCTCCCGACCCCCCCTGGCTTTTCGTGTTCTCCTTTACTTTGGCCTTCTATCTGACCTCCTTTTTCCCTCCGTGGCTCCATGCTTTATGAAAGCTGGCGTTTTGACTGAGGGACACAAAAGAAGAAAGAAAAGGGGGAGAGGGGCCAACTAATAAAAACCCAGAGCAATTTAAAGGACAATTATCTGGTTTCCTTATTGTTCATAGTTGCAACAAAAGAGGTTTTTTTCTTCTCTTCAAGGGCCTTGGAGGAAACTTGATTCAGTAATTTTCCCCCAGGGACCCTCAGGATTGCATGGCTGTATTTTTTCACATCCAGCAATGTCATCAGAAGTCACTCAGCTAGGCCACGTTTCCTCCCTTTGTTGGAAATTCCTTCATTTGACGAAAGGTCTCCGAGCCAAGGCAGAGATTTGAGGGTTGGGAGTAGAAAGGAAGAGACGCACACTTGGCCTCCCCCCTTTTCTTTCTTTTATTTCCTTTCCAGTGTGTGTGTGTGTGTGTGTGTGTGTGTGTGTGTGTTAAACTTTGACCCCAGAACCCAGAGTTCAAACAGTCATGACCCAGTTATCTTCTAAGAGGACCTCACTGCTAAAACAGAGGCACCATACAGCCGTCTCAGCTCTTTTAACAGGAATTCTTGCTTGGCTCATAAAACCAAGACCTATTTGGACGTAATCGTCAGCGCTCAGGTTGCACGGCCAATGTTAAGAGCTACGGGGAGCACCATCAGCTACGGACACCGAAAGCAACAATTGCACTCTAAATGATTAGAGTTGATAACAAGGCAAAATACTTTCTCCATCTGTTTATCTGGTTTCAATGAAGTGTGAGGTCAGCTGTTACCAAGAGAAGCCACAATTCCGTTTTTGAGATGTTAATCTTCAAATGTGCCTTAGCTTATTAACGCAAGATGATTCAACACCATTTATATTTGTAAAGAGTTGTTATGTTAATCTACTAATTACATTACAGGTCATTTAGCAGACGCTTTTATCCAAAGCGACTTACATTACACTTTAAACCCATGGCTCTTTTTACATTTTGCCCGGGGAGCAATTGGGGGTCAGTATTTTCTTTGCTTTGTCCTGTGTGTATGTTGACTTCTCTGTACGTCTCTCTTCCAGGCTCCAGTGCTGTGGCTTGAAGGTCGGGGAGGCTCCGCCGTCTGCGGTGCCCCAGCGCCAAGAGGTGTGCGGGTCGCCCAGGGACAGAGACAGGAGGGACCCGGCCGTGTCCACCAAGCGCCCCCTCGCCCCTCTGCTCAGCCGAAGCGGTAGCCCCGGTGAACCTGACGCCATGCTGGCGCACAGGAGAGCCACCGGCGACCCGCGCACTCCCGCCATGGAGAATGGGCTAACCAACAACAACAAGGGCCCGGCGGCAGCGAAGGCCGCCAGCATCCGTGATAAGATCTCCCAGTGGGAGGGCAAAAAGGAGACCGGCCCCCTGACTTCTACAGGGACATGTCTACTGAGCACCACACAGAAGGAAGTGGAGACGGTGAGGAAAAAGGATTTCAAAGCAACCGAGGTCCAGAGGACGGACAGCAAGAGGGTTGTCGGCTGGGACAGACAGGACTTGGGGAAGGAGAACGTGGGGAAGGTGGGGGATTCGAGGCCCAAATCGCCACAGGGCCCAACAAACAAGGACAGGGAAGATATCCTAGAGAGGGGTTCACAGCCTTCCAAGCCCACAGAACAGCCCCAAGACAAGAAAAGTGTTTTAACTCATGTTAAGAAACTGGAGAAGGCGACGAAGGAGGTTCCTGCCAGACCGTCACTCGCATTTCCAGGGAACTACTTCTGCCCTCCTTCGAGGGAGGAGCTGGAGGAAACGGAGAAGAGAGCCAAAGAGCCCATTTTTGGGACTTTTGATGTTGTTCGGCCAAGTGGGTCTCGGAGGAGGAGGGAGGGGGATCCAGAGAACGTGTACAGTGAGCCAGGTGCTCCCCCGTCCATAAACCCTCTACCGAAACCTCAGAGGACCTTCCAGCATCACACCCCCCCGGCTAACCCAGCTTCCGGGCCTGGATCGGGCAAGGGAAGGAGGAACTTGCCCCCTTTGCCCTCTATTCCTCCTCCACCTTTACCCACGTGCCCCCCGCCTGGAGTTTGCAGGAGACCCTGGGCTGACAAACCCCGGGACAGTGGTAACAGGTAAGAGAGTAAGAGGGGAGAGCAGTGTTGGCGGTCAGCGTTTAGCAGACACTCATCTGAAGCTTTTGAGTCAAAGCGAAATCCCCCAAAAGTCATTGTTTACAGTTTGATGTGATCATTTGATTACCGGTGATCTGTCTGTGTATCTGACCCCCCCTCCACCACCGTCAACAACCCCTGAGGGGAACATCCCCCCCCCCCATCTGCCATGAATCACAACAGGCCGTGACGACACCCTGTTTCTAAATAGCCCAGAAGAATGAGCTCATTTGTTGGATGTGAGGAATGTACACATCAAGTGAACTCATTCCTCTTCCCAAAGCGCTACTGCAAGAGAGCGGCGTGAGTTATGGCGCTTTCTCGAGGTACGAAATGATGCAACGCAAAGCCCGTGACCATTACAAAACAGCTGATGGATATTTGGGAATGTGAAAATCTCAATCGCTTATTCTACCAAGAGCAATTGCCAGGTCTTCTAAAGTAGTTCTTAACTTCGATGGTCAAACAAACAGGTCTGTAAGCACAACATTCGTTTGTGAACTATTATTATACGACATGTATTGTTCCCGTTCTCAGTGGTTTGCGCTTGGCTTGGAGCGGTTACATTCCATACCATATGAGGAGGCCTCGCTCTGCCCGAGCCCTTTGTTTGCTCAGGCTCTCTTTCTCTTAGTCTGCGTCTTTGTGCATGTGACCAACTACACCGAGTCGCCAGTTTAAAGTTAGACCTTCGGCTTCACTCGCTGCCGTGCAACAGCTTTGCCATTAGGCTGCCATTGTCTGTTGTTTCTAAAACACAAAGGTGTTTCTTTAACTTAATTCATTTACTACCTTTAACCTTCATTTATATAATAGGGTCAATGCACAACCACTTTGTGCATCATTATGCAGCACAGATTTACCCAAAAAGCTATTTTTCAGATGCATTTCCAAGGACAGTTTATGTCATAAATAAAAATAAACGAAAAGGCCATTACACTGCAGTGGATGTAATTAGTTCTACCCAATAAAGGGGTAAGCTCCTTTAATTGTACAGGCAGCATGTGCATGTGGGAACTCGTGCATCGATGGATGCTTGTGTGCACTTCATCCAACCGGGCTTTAATCTTCTGCAGTGATGAAACACAGATGTGTTCATTCAGATGTGGCAACTACTAAATGGTAACATCAGTTTTCCAGCTCGCCAAATCAAACATTCCTAAAAGTTTCAGCAAAAACTCAAAAATCCTTCCTTCCTTCTTCTTCGTCTCTCTATTCGGGGTGCAATTATGGTAAAGCTTGTTAATCCTCTGTCCTTCCAGGAAGTCCTATGAATTTGAGGATCTGCTCCAGTCGTCTACAGAGAGCTGCAGGGTGGACTGGTACGCTCAGTCAAGACTTGGCCTCACACGCACTTTATCAGAAGAGAATGTCTACGAGGACATAATAGGTGAGCAGACATGTCAAGTGCATATCACGCCTTTTATTTTCCCATTCACCAAGTAGACCTAAATTCATGCTCCAGAGATGAAAAACGTACTGTGGCGTTGCTGTGTTGTCCTATTTGCTATACCCTTCATACCCTGCGTGACCCTTCCTCATATTACTGTGCATCATAGTTGAGTAACAGAGGTGATGAAGAAGCCAAGCTGTCTTTACTCTGCTTCAGTTTTAATTTCGAGCCGCGCTGCTTCTCTTTTATTAAAAACGTTATTGTCTGCAGGGTCAAGCCAACCCACCTAGAGGCTGTTTCATTTCAACAAGCACCACAGCGGCGTTGTGTGAGGTCGCGCTGCAGCCGCAGTCAGCTACTGTGGTTGTCAGTGCAGCGGGGGGGGGGGGGTGGAGGGGGGGTGGAGTGGCTTAAAGCCCGGGCACATTACTGGCAATTGCTTCAACGTGTCTTTGGGTTTCTTCTAATGTACAAGTGCTGCTTGGTTGGATCACTCAGATGGACGTTATATGTAAGTGCTGCCTTCTTTAACACGCGCAGACGTTGCTCATCACGCGTCAGTGTCCAAAGTTCTACTCCGTATCGGCAAAACATCCTCCACACACACACACACACACACACACACACACACACACACACACACACACACACACACACACACACACACACACACACACACACACATGCCTGCTGGTGTTTTCAGATTGAGGGCAAAGCAACTGTCGCCGACGCACGCCCTGAGACGCGCGCCCTGAGACGCGCGCCCTGAGACGCACGCCCTGAGACGCACACCTCGAAGATGGACGCAAACTGGCATGTGTGCAGCTGACACGCCGAGGGGATTCGTGGGACGTTCTCTTCAGCCATGGATGTACCGACTTTACTGATTGCTTGGTGTCCTCAGAGGGAGAGGGAGCAGGGAGCCCCACGTCCCTCTTCATCCTCGGACTCTACGCATCACATCTGGTGGATGGATTGATGGAGCAGATTCATACAAGAGATATGGATACAAAGGGAGGAAAATGAAGCTTTCTCTGCTTATCTGCAGGGGAGGACTCGTGGCTACAGTTACTTTTAGCATCAGCAGTGCAAACATCTTACCGCAGGGAAATGTGAGCTGAGTAAGCGTCCGTTCGCTCTCTGCACATCTGGGGAAGGAATTGTCTGCTGAAACGCATTTCATATCCTCTTCGTGCTTTGTGTGAATTCAAGGTGTGACTGATTTCTTTTAGAAAAAACATTTTCTTTCTTTTTCTGAAGACCCTCCATCCAAGGAGAACCCCTATGAAGATATAGAGCTGGAGCGAAGCTTTTTAGGAAGCAAACATGTGTCGCCTGCGTCCTCGTCTCCTGTCCCTGACCCGCCAACCAAGGTACCCGACGGGCAAACTCACCGCAGCCAAACACAAGTTGATGTGAAGACGTTATTCTATCCGTTCGTCCTCCACAGCTCGCCAACAGGCCCGGCTTCTTCAGACAAAATTCCGAACGGCGAAGCTTCAAGCTCCCGGAGCTACGCAAGACCGGCAGGGACATCGGCATGGCCCCCCCCTCCAGAATCAGCCCCCCCTCCACGCCCAGCAGCCCCGACGACACCCCCTGCCTCTCTGGAGACCCCTACAATCGCAGGAGGAGGAAAGTGCCCAAGGTACCGAGCTCAAGCTGCTCTGACGGCAGGTTGTGGTGCAGTGTGCTGCTCAGGGGGGGTTTGGGGGGGGGGGGGGGGGTGCGTTCTCTTTTTTTTCTGTGATAAAGAGAGCAGAAAACATTTCTTGAGGCAGGTTCTCAAAAAAAGGGGCTGCGATTACAGCAGAGAGTGGGGACGGTTCCTACAGTTTTCTCCTCTCGCCCCGTGCAGATGGTGCTGAAAATCAACGGCATCTTCGAGGCCCGAAGAGGGAAGAAGCGAATGAAGAGGGTGTCACAGTCCACAGAGTCCAGCTCGGGGAGAGGTGACAAAGGCCACAAAAAGTTTCATCTACGTACTTTTCATCTGTGGATTTCGTAAAACTCCCTTTTACAGTCATGTTTTTAACTCAGGTCGCCTTTCTGCGGCTCCGTTCTCCAGGTGAAACTCCACAAAGGGAACAATCACAATTAGTTTTAGGGGTAAAGTTGCATTCTGTGGTCAGTTGAAACTGACCCGTGTTTCAGAAAACGGTTTTGTGTCGAAGCAACAAGAAAGAAAACAATGTGCTTTGGTTTTTCTCTTTTTCACTGTTTCTTCTCTCAAATTTAGTGACGGATGAGAACAGCGAGTCTGAAAGTGACACAGAGGAGAAATTACAAGGTGAGAACAAATAATGAATACATTGTAATTACATCAGTGACAAATAAGCACAACAGGTGCGTAAAATAAGTGTTCTGTTTCTCTATTGCTCCAATGTATATCCGACATAAAATGTAACCGCGGATTGCCTTACGCGGTGCACACGTGACACTATTTACATGAGCCGTGTTTCGCTGGCCCTCAGCCCACAGCCAGCGGCTGGTGTCGGTCCAGTCCATGCTGAGGCAGACGGGGCGGCACCGCGCTTTGGAGAGGGATCTGATGGAGTTGCAGGAGAGGAAACTCTTTGAGTATTTCATAGTTGTTGCGCTGCACAAAACCAAGGCTGGAGTCCCGTACCTGCCAGAAGTCACGCAGCAGTTCCCCCTCAAGGTAAACGGGGGATCGAAATGTTACTGAAGCCCTTTTTACTAAATGAGACGCTTGAAATTCTACTTAAAAAAGAGAGTCTTTTGTTCTAAAAATGATGAACTAAATAGAGATCCAACATTCCAACCAGACCAATGGTCTGTTTTCATTACTTGTACTTTAATGACCTACTTTAGGAAAAAATGAACACACATTTTGAATTATGCTCATGTCAGGTTTGCACTTAGTATTTTCTTTTTTAGTTCACTGTTTAATTATTGTGTTACTGATTTACTGTGTTCCATGTTTAGTGGATAGAAACATTGTGATAGTCGATGACTTTGATGGCATTTTCTCTTTTTTTTTTCTCTCCTGCAGCTTGAAAGAAGCTTTAAGTTCATGCGGGAGGCTGAGGACCAGCTGAAGGTCATCCCTCAGTTCTGTTTCCCTGATGCCAAAGACTGGGCCCCCGTGGACACCTTCCCCAGGTCAGTCCCAGCCCGACTGCCGTCGTATTAAAAAAATGTTAGCGGAGAAGCTGAAAGCCCAAAACAACAATGAACAAGGAGGCACCGACGGTGACAAATGGTCACAGGGAGAAGTGGTGGATTCAGGACCTCAGACCTGGTTGTCCTTCACACAATCACCTCTCTTTACATGATGGCGGATATTAGCCGCGTTACCAAATTCCTCCCAGCTTGGCCTCTTATCGTCTGCATTGTTCTGAGAAGTCATGATGTGTGTTGTCACGATGAAGGCTAATTATTACCCGGGGGCCGCTGAACGCTGCGTCAGGAAGGTGGCTGTGTCAGGTCGAGCTTGGGAGGATTTGTGTGCATATTGTCCTGTTTGCCCAAACAAAAAGTCCAAAGTCCACGATGACTATTCTGTTTCCATAGAATTTGGAATATTTTCCAGTGTGTCAAATTGCTTCATTCTTCTCCTTGTTTTTCATCTCCAGCGAGACGTTCTCATTCGTCCTGACCGGTGAGGATGGGAGCAGGCGCTTTGGTTACTGTCGGCGATTACTGGTACGCTCGATAGCTTCTTTTATTTTGCTTCAGCCTCTCTGGCTTTCACTTTTTTCTTTTTGTTGTATTCCTCTGCAAACTGTCCAATTTTCTACACACATCAAGAATTTGGGTGATGAAGTGGTTCAGTCAGTCTCAGTGCTTCAGGGCCTCGTAGTCTAACCCTGTGCAGTCTTGTGACACACGTCTTTTTCTCGCTTGCCCGTTCACAGCCCAGCGGTAAAGGCCGGAGGCTCCCCGAGGTTTACTGCATCGTCAGTCGCCTGGGCTGCTTCGACCTCTTCTCCAAGGTGGACATAGTGAACCCAGCACCAACGCAAATGCACACAGTGCGCGCAGAACTGCATGCGTTACACAAACACGGGCGCACAACACCACCGCCAGTGAAGAGGCATTAGAGCACCACCGCCCTCTGTGCCCACAGCCGCCCCCCCCCCTCCACTTCCCCACAGAGCCTTGCAGTTCTGGCTGCAGAACACACACATATAAACTGCAGCTGATGCAGTAACCGCAGTGGAAAAGTTTCCCTCTATTGGGTCTTAGATTTAAATCAGTGTCGGACTGTGTAAATAAATCTGTACGTGTGTCATTGCCAGAAAAGATTTTTGGGATACAAAGAAGCGTAACTATTCAATTATATTTCAATATATTTTTTACTGCCCAAAATCACAAATCACTTATTTTCCTCCGAGGGCTTTGCAAACTGTACACATAGAACCACTGCAGATCTGCTTTTAGAGGCAATGGAGAATAGACTGAAAGCTTTGTCTGCATTGGGGTTAGGATTAGGGTTATGAACATTATGAACATGTGTAATCTGCACCAGATCATCTACGTAAAAGTGTGACGCTGAAACGGATTGAGGCGGTTTGAATTTAATGATGACTGTCTCCATTGCATCGTGGCCAGAATGAATAGAGTTTTATTACAGGCCAGTGTGCCGACCAAATCAAAGTATCCCAAAGGATTTTCAGTCCCATTGGACATTCACAATAAAATGAATACACATTATACAGAGGTGGACACGAAGACTATTTTAGGATATTGATTTTATGATCGGCATTTTTGCACAGAATCATTTGGGTTTTGTTTTTTTCCCCTACAAAATAGAAATGTCTGTTTTTTGGTTAATTTAGTAATACCTGTTGAGTGGTTTCACCATATTCATGCTATAATAATTAACGAGATTAAAATACAGCCTGGAAATATGTCTGCTGTTTTAATTGCTCACAATCACAGGACAGTTGATAAAGGTCTGATCATATCCAGGATACATCATCATATACCTTAAAATAGAAATGTGCACAGTTTACTGACAGAGATATTTGTGCCTTGCCAGTATTGGAATGACCCATCCCCGTGTTTTGCAGATCCTGGATGAAGTGGAGAAGCGGAGGGCCATCTCCCCTGCTCTGGTGCAGCCTTTCATGAGAGGCATAATGGAAGCTCCCTTCCCTGCTCCGGGAAGGACCATCACCGTCAAGAACTTCCTGCCCGGCTCTGGGACAGAGGTGAGAGGATGCTGAACCAGTGGGTTTTCACCCCGCTCTCAGAGACCAAACCCAGATGCTTCTGCAGATGAAATAATGTCACTAATGCGTCTTTCTCTCTCTTTCCCGCAGGTGATCGAGTTGTGTCGGCCGTCGGACTCCCGTCTGGAACATGTGGACTTTGAATGTCTCTTCTCCTCCTTGAGTCTACGCCTCCTTCTCCGAGTGTTTGCCTCTCTGCTTCTGGAACGCAGGATCATCTTCACCGCCGACAAACTCAGGTGGGCAGAGCGCCGTGTCTGCCGTCAGACCTTCACATCTCGTCCCGATGGAGCGTGAGCGGGAGGAAGGCTCTCGTGTTACACAGTCGCCTGGGGAACAAGAGCGAACACGTGTGCACAGGCACGCCGTCACACCGCCGCGGCCCTCTTTAAACCCGTTAACTGTTGTGGTCCACCCGGATCCAGATTTTGTTTTTTTCTCCTTCTTGCCTGCGTGCTGTTGTTCAGAATTACAAGACGGATTTCACACCAGGGCTCATAAGCAGAGAGTCATGGAAAGTTTCGTCTATCACTTTTTCGGATGAACTAACTGTGAGCAGATGCACACCTGGGAGGGATTAAGTGAGTGCGTTTGCCGCCGCTGTAGTTTTTCTATGTTCCATCTCTCCCCCCTGAGAGATGCGTGGCTCCTCTCAGGGGAACACGAGTTTGTCGGTTTTAACAGGAGAGGCCGATGTTCTCGGGCAGATGGTTAGCACCGGCTAGTGGAAGACATTTGTATTTCAGACTGAAAACTCTTTTTTGAAGATTATTGAGATCTATGTCACTTTCTGTGAATAACATTTTAAATGTGAAGTTACGCTTTATTTTCTAGAACCTCTGAATCTGAGAGCAAGTCTATTTTTGTTACACTAAACTCTCCTGAACTTAAGTACACGTCGAGAAGTTTTATTTTTATTTTTTATGAGAAAGTCTGCGGTCACTACCTGATAGAGCAAGTTGGGTACAACTACAGGACTGCATTGTGCTTGCATATTAAAATAAAAATTCCCTGAATATTGAATTTATACATGATCACAGGTAAAGAGAAGTCTTATGTAATATTAAGGGGGCATAATACCAAAAACATAAATACATAATGATAAATAAATAGCCTTGACCACCGGAGGGTCCATTCAATAGCTGATCTGAAGATTTTATTGATACCCAAATTCTACTACTTGTTTGATTTCTTTCTCTCTTCCTGCAGCACGTTGTCTCAGTGTTGTCATGCAGTGGTGGCCCTCCTCTACCCCTTCACCTGGCAGCACACGTACATCCCCGTGCTGCCGCCCTCCATGCTGGACATCGTCTGCACCCCCACCCCCTTTATAGTCGGCCTCCTCTCCAGCTCGCTGCCTCGACTCAAAGAGCTGCCCATAGAAGAGGTGCCACGGGTTCTTTTTCTCTGTTTGCACTGCGCTGAACAATAGCTGCAGGAAATGACGTCGCTCTCCCTCCGCTCTTCCTCAGGTCCTGGTGGTCGACCTCGGCAACAGCCGCTTCCTTAGACAGGTAGGAAGCATTACAGCGTAAGTGGGGCAGCAACGTCATGTGAACACGGTCATTCTCTGCAGCACGTGTACCTTTGCGTCCCCAGCTGGACGATGAGGACTCCATTCTCCCCCACAAGCTGCAGGCAGCTCTGGAGCATGTGCTGGACAAGAGGAAGGAGCTGGCCAGCGAGAAGCCGGAGCTGCAAAATGGTGACTCAGCATATTAGTGACAGTATTTTCTCTGCTAAGACATAACCTTTTTATTTATTATTTAATTGTATGTTGTGTTATAAGTAAGTATTAGAACTACAAAAAGGACATAGCTGTTAAGGATCTGGAGCAGGGGACGCTCACTAGTGCAGTTCCTACTTTATCTTTAGCCGACCTAATTGTCAATGAATGTTTAAAACTATTAAAACAAGCATTCTTTTGGCGTCGTGGGTTTTTGGGGTTCCTGCTACAATGGGGTTGAAAATGTCACATGATAAAAGTAGCGGATCGGCTCGGTGTGGTGTCATCGATTACTGTTCCTCTCCTTTTCACCACCCAGACTCCGGCTCCCTCAGCGCCGCGGTGTCAGAGGCCTTTGTGCGCTTCTTCGTGGAGATGGTGGGTCACTATTCCCTCTTCATGGGCGGAGCGGACCGAGAGGACGACTCCATCTCCTCCCCCACCTTGCCCGGCCCCTCTTCCTCCCCGTCGTCGTCCTTTCAGCGAGAAGCCTTCTGCAAAGCCGTCACGTCCAAGAGCTTGAAGAGGTTCCTGGAGGTGTTCATGGAGACGCAGATGTTCTCCAGCTTCATCCAGGAGAGGGAGCTGCGCAGGCAGAGCCTCAGAGGTACGCTGCAGCGCTGTTATAATACAGCTAATAGCAGTTTTTGAATGAATACTGGTTCAGCATAAATACTTGATGATTCTCCACGTTCATCTTCATCATCAAGTTGCTCACCGTTCATGCATTTGTAGTTGTTCTCAATAGAGGTTATATGCTACTTTTAAGACTCACGTCGGTCCATCCTCATGTCAGTTTGACGTTACTCGTGTTCATACAGTTTTTGATTTATTTAACTAGTGGTTGTAAGGCGTTTGCTTTGAAACAAATGGACTTTTTGTTCTCCAGGTTTGTTCGAGGTGAGAGCACTAGAGTATCTGGACTCGCTGCCGGGGAGCGAGCAACGAGGAGTTAACAAGTTCCTCAAGGGTCTCGGTGAGAATTACCATCGATCAGTGTTTTTAAATACTGGTTTGAGTATTTACAGTAAACCGTTTAGGGTTAAATTGGATGGAAAGCCTCTGATCTTTAAGTTGATGGTAATCAGCCGATGCTCCTTCAACTGCAGTGCTCACATTCATGGATTCTATTTGATCGGTTGCTTTTCTTCAGGAAACAAGATGAAATTCCTCTCCAAGAAATGACGTTTGGAGCCAGGATGTCATATGTGAAAGCAGAAAAAGAGGCATGTCGTAACAAAGAAGAAGAGGAAGAGGACACGCCCCCTGGGCCCGGAGAGGGTGGAGATGAAGACGTGTCTCTGGGTCACAGCAAAGGCAGACCTCAGAAGTGATCCGGGCTCATGGATGGTGAACATCAGGGGTTTAGCTGCCAGCGTCTTTCTGCGGTGTTGGGAAGGCTTTTCTCAGCTTGGACCTGAAGTCCCCTCCAACCCGATAAAGAGTATCAGTGTCTCTCAGATGACGCTGAATCCCTGCAGTGTATTACTGCACAGCATTGCACAGTGTAAATGTCTTTAGGAAAAGTGTTCTCCCTTTTTCAGACACTGACCTCACGTATATTACCTGTAATTACGCTGAAGGTCCCATTTTGTACAATACATTCCTATACATACAAGTATTTTCTATAGAAGCTTTAACAACTGTACAACTTCTTCATCAACAGGAGGCTTTTAAGTTAATTTATATTCTTTTTAGATAAACCTAATCTTTTTGTTCTCCTGTACTTTGTTACAGGCTTTATTTAACAGAGTCTAGTCCAGACTGTTTGTACACCACTTGTTGTTGAGTAAATGCGCCACTGTTTTAAGGGAAAGGAATGAGCACCAAAAAATATCAACGTGAATATATCTCTCACCTGGGTTTGAGTTTACGCTTTGGATGGCCAACTTTTAAACTTGATTGAGAATGCAATGAAACTTTTGAAATAAAGAGGTTTAAACTTTTAAAATGGACTAATGACTCTCTTCATACAATTTCGTGTGCATGGTTTGTCAGCTCGCAACAGTGTAACATGAAACTTCTGCTGTTCCTGTTGAGCTCTTGGATCCACTTCCTTTAATAACCTCAGCTGCATCTCAATGGGATCTGTCGCTGTAAGTCCCCCAAAAAGACACAGAAATGTTATCCAACAGTTGACAGCAGTGCTCCTCATGACTACAGCGAGTTGATTTCATGTTCTGTCTTCCTCTAGGGGGCGCTGTTGCTGCATCCCATGCCCCTCCTGACATTCCCTGACAGGGAAAGTAGGGATGATGTATGAGGATAAACACATGTTTGTTGAAGTATTAACTCCCCCTGATACAAAACACCTTAATCATCGATGGCGCAGTCAAAGTAAATAATAAAAAGGAAGATGGCGTAAATCTATTCAGCTACTTTAATTTCAGGTTCCTGGGACACTCGGATAGAGTGCAAATCCCAGCGCTGGTGAGTGTGACGTGATGCTCACCGGCTTCACACTCGCTCCACATTATTCCCACAACATCCACTGGAGGACTCCATCACCCAGTTCATGCACAGGATCCCATATGTGTTGCCACAGAAGGGTCCAAAGTTTAGAACCACATCTCAAGACAATTTGGCCTCCGGGACCCTTGATGACTTGCACAACATGCGCAGGTCCAACAATGGTTTTGCTTTTGCCGGTTTGCATGAGCAAACCAGAAAAATGAATGTGAAGACTGGGACTAGAGAGTAGAGAGTTTGCATGTGGCTAATCATCCTTAGAATACATGAAACAAGATGAAGGGAAGAGTACTGCCATGAGGGGTAGAGGATAAAGACATGCATACTGGTGCAGTAACGTCACATCTTCCAACTCGTATTTGCTCATTTAGCTGTCATCTGACTCGCAGAGTAACACCCTCATTGTCACAGTCACGGTGTGTGTGACCGACTCCCATCATAAGTCATTGTGAAACTGTGCTTATTACCATGTTGTCATGCGGTGGTTTTCACTGTATTTCTTTTTTCCTGATGATATTTGCGTCCCCCCCTTCCTCCTCCTCCTCCTCCTCCTCCTCCGTCATTACGCGTTGACCGGTCAGACCTCCCCTCCTCCCCTCCTCCTCCCCCTCGGTCCTTTTCTCTGGCTTTCTCCGGGCTTCATGTCATACCACGGCTAATTCCTGAAATTCCTGCCCTCCTCTCCGCTTCAAACCAACGTCTCCGGGAAGGAGACGAGGCAGCAGAGAGCTAAAAGCGACAGAATAAAAGCGAAACCAGACCGGTGTCCTCTCCATCTGACGCGTAATAACAGCTGCCCGCCGGACGCGCGCTCCACCAGGTAAAAGTGCTTTTCTGGGCTTCTCGTGATCGTGTCGGAGCGTGAAGTTAAAAGTTGAATATCGTGGAAGTGGAGTTCGCTCTTTCTTCCTCTCTGAATGCTTCTCACTCACCGGCGGAGACGACATTCCTCGAATATCTCGCATTTCTTCGCTCGGATTCCTGCGTTTCTGCGTGCGCTCGCTGCGCCGCAGCGCGTGCGCGTGCTTTGACTTCCTGTGCTCGCAGCCGGAACTTTGTCTGTTTTTGGTTCTATTTTTCTTCTCAGGAGGAATCAGATTATTGTGGTGCAGTCAAACATTAGCGTCGGTCGGTAAAGTTTTACAGAATGCAAACAGTGGATTTATTAACCATCAGCACGGTTGTTTTCAAAGTATTCACATCCTTTATTCTCTGTAAAAGTAAAAGTAATGCGGTGTGAAAATACTTCAATCCGGACCAGTGGAATTCATTTAAAGACAAAAAATAACGGGAAATGTCCAAACATCTATTCGTTTATATTGTAACAGGCTAGAATGTCATTATTTTGGATTCGTTAATACCAAAAGTGAAGCTGATTCGTACTATTTCTGTAATACCTGAAGTAAGCAACAAACTGCTAAAGAACACCAATTCAACTTTGTTTAATGTAGTCGTGTAAAAGTACACAGAATATAGGAAGGAATATTCACTGAAGTGAAAATTAGTAATATTTCAGAAGGAACTGTATTTCGCAACTGACCGAAGTTGCCTGATAGTCCTGGTAATATATAATAAATTAAATATAAATATATAAATAATATAATGAAATGAAGACGGAATGTTACTTATAGGAGTTATTTCCACTATTGTTTCATTTGCTGATTATTTTCTTAAATACTGGGGCGACCGTTATATGAAATGTAAAGGTGACACATTTAAATAGTCTTGAATGGCATCCAAACTCTTTCACTTTCAGAATATTTGAGCTCTCGTGAAGGACTCCACATGATGCAAAGTTGACCAAAGGTGCTTCTCCTGCGTATCGTGTAAATACTGCATGTGTGTGTGTGTGTGTGTGTGACTGACTCCATAAAGCTGCATAGCTGAGAAGGCACAGTGTGAGTGCATATTTTCGGTCAGGGATTGAGATGACTAACACGGGGCTTGTGTCTGCGTTGGTGTCCCATAGGGGCAACAGGTGGATTGGAGCACTGTGACAGGGAGATGAAGGTTGTGTTGGGGGGTAAAAAACAACTTGTCTGAGTCTCCTCTGAAGTATCTGACAGCCAGAGGAGTTTTAGGTCTTTTCTGGGCCTTGACCTTTTTGTTTTTTCACAACTATGAGTTATATATGAGTTATATTTTTGATGTGAACTCTAAAATGGTATTGTTTGCACTGCAGTGTGTGTGTTTGTGTGTGGAACTAGAAAGGAGGGGAAAAAAAGAAAAGTATGAAATGGTTTGTGTGCGAGTGGTGATTGTTGTCCACCTTGTTTGTTTGTGCGCGCGTGGAGTTGCCCTGCATGTGACAGGACCTCCCCACGGCAGAGTCCTTTATCCGCCGTGCTCATCCCACATAGCGATCATTCCTCCCCCACTCGCACGAGAGGAACGAATAATGCCTCAGATATGAGCCTTGCAGAACAAAGACTTGCACACACCTCTCCCCTCTTTTGTGTGTGTGTGTGTGTGTGTGTGTGTGTGTGTGTGTGTGTGACTGTGTTGTCCATTGATTCCAGCCAGTCTGATGGATCTTTCTGTTGAACTATCTGGGGCTGATCTGACAGACCCACTCTCCTCTTTGGCTCTGACTCTTCTGTGAGCACATTGAGGGAGGACACGGTCAAGACTCGCCTGGTCCGTTAGATAAGGAGCTGGAGCTTTGGGATGTGTTCAATGTACAACATGCAAATTAAACAATTTAAGGAGGTTGCATTTTTTTTTATTCCCATCTCTCTGTTTAAATAAGCTACAACTGATTGTATGGCAATAAGAAGCTGCAAATGCACCATTGCTTCATAAGATAATAATATCGCAAACCTTTTTCTATAATTTACACATCCAGCAGGTGCGGTTTAACATTATTTATGGGAAGTTGCCTCCTGCCACCTGCAGACGTGTGTCCAGCCTTCACTCTCCTTGTCGCTCTGATTTGGTCGCTTTCTACTCCTTAAAGAAATATCTGAAATGTCTCTTTAGCTGCTAAATGCTCCATGTTCACCAGTGTGTATAATGTGCACAGGTTGGAGGCTCTCGCTCGTGCAGCCCAGAGAACATGTGCTCTCAGCAAAAACTCAACCAAACAGGAGAGACTCGCACAGCAACTTTCCATCGCATAGCCTGATCCTCGAGTTGCCTGCTTTTGCATTCCCGGCCTGATTAGTGGGGATTGTTACCAGTTTAATACATGCGGAGACGGCCACACGCGCTAAATACGCACAAATGGACTGACCGCATGCTCTTGCAGTTTTCGGGAGTCTTTTGTCTGCAGACAAACACAAAGCAACACAAATAATGACGGTTTTGGTTCCCCTATCGTTGACCTGGACTATCATACACTCCTTTGGTCTTTGCGCTCCTTCATATTGATGAGTGATAACGATTAAATACCCGCAGCACAAAGTGTTAATAGTTCAAAATATCAAAACGCTTCAGAGCTTTGAGCTAAATGCTAACAATACGATGCTAACATTCTCCTCGTTACCATGCCAGCATGTTGCCAGCAGAGAGGACCGACACATAGTCGGTGTAGCGTTATAGCATGCTTACATTGGCTAATAAGCATCAAACTGACAGTACAGCTGAGGCTGATGGGAAGGTTATTGGCATGGCACGGATTTAGACAGCGGACCACAATAGTTATTGTAATTTCATCCTGAGGAGATGTGAGTTTGCCATCAGTGGGTCAACCAGATCTGACAGAAATCTTTACAAAAGCATTTCACCAAACACACATTGTCTGGACCGTGGATGCTTTGTAGAAAATGAGAAGGAAATCCATCGTATGGTTGTTGAGATATTTTAGTCTAGACCAAAGTGGTCGACCAAATGACCGGCAAACATGGAGCTATGCTAATAATACCCCAAAATATGAAATGCACTCTGTCCCCTTGTGCGGCCCAGCCAACACTCCCACTGCTCTGGCACTGGTGCGGGGCGAAGGTGAAGGGCTCGGCCATACCTCCAGCTTCATGTGGTCTTCTGGTTTGGTGTGTGTGTGTGTATTCACGTGAAGGCTGTGTGTGTGTGTGTCTTTTAGTGTAGCATATGAACTTGTTTCTCGTGTGCGTTTAAGTGGGTTTATTTCCTTCATAAGTTGATGCCGTGAGTGTGTTTGTCTCAGCTGGTCAGTGTGTGTGTGTGTGTGTAGGTGTGTTAAGTTGTCGGTGCGGTTGAGGGGCTACGTGGCCCCCTGCCTGACCACAGCACCAGCCGGGGGCTTATCCCGTTGAGCGGATCCATGGAAGAGGGGCCTCGCTGGTGCTGGAGGAGGAGGGGGGGGGTAGTTGGAGGGGGTTGGGGGCGGGTTTAAGGCACGGCTTAGGTTAATTAACATCGCGGACACTTTGACGGGGGCACCGAGCAGCACTCTAATGGTTTATGGCCTCCACAAATCTGCCAGTGAGCTACAGAGGTGCACTTATTTAAACATCTGTCACAAAAACGATAGAAATTTCTGTCAAGTAGTCGGTCAGCTCGTGATCAAGATTAAGGTTCATTGTGTTGTGCAACGCAAAGATTAACCAATTTTTATGTGCTTGATGTAATTCAGAAAAGTTCTGTTTGGGTTATGTAGGAATGCCGCCCTTGAAGCGGAGAATAATAATAATTGCCATCCGCTATTCACAAACTATTGGCGAGGATAAAAGACACAAGTCCGGTTTGCGGTTGTAAATGTGAAGTGATTTTGTCTCTTGGTTTCCTCTGTGAGCAGACCGATCAGCTGTGCTGAACACTCGAAAAACAATCACTTACTAAAACCTCCACAGCCTCACAAGAGTTGACCTGTTAACTAGTTGATAATCAACAATCTCACACTCACTTCAGTGCGAGTCAGTCCAAGCGTTTCTTTTTGGGTCACGCTGAGGAGGTGAGACTTTCATACTGTGCACCAGCTAACGGAGAAAACTTCACCTCATTTCCTTTTTGATGATTTGATTATAATGAGACTTCATGAAATGATTGAGAACACTGAAGAATGTCCATCCTAATTTCTAAGACTCCAAGTTGAAGTTTTCTTCCACCAAAGACTGATGTTCATCAATTAATCGATTAGGCAGCTGATTCATGGTCTAAATATATTTTTGGCTATGATAATGGACTCGTACGATAAAGGGACCCAACAATAAGAGATCTTTTAGTCTGAGGAGATGTCTTCAAAGTACTTTATTAAACAGTCTCGAAGGTATAACAGTTTTTGTTTTATAGAAATTGAACGCGCAAATGTCTTTAGCACCTTTGTTAAAAAATTATTTTAATTTTAGTATTTAATTTAATTTTAGTATTTAATGCTATTCAAGTATTTACCAATTAGTTATTGCAATGCTTCCTTACTTTGCCAGTCCGCTCTACCAGAGTTATTTGTTATTTGTGTGGGAACAATTGTAATTTATCACTCTGTGCTTCTACTTCATCTTTCTTTTTGTGTGTGTGTGTGTGTGTGTGTGTGTGTGTGTGTGTGTGTGTGTGTGTGTGTGTGTGTGTGTGTGTGTGTGAGAGAGAGAGAAGAATGGGGAGAATGGCAGAGCGGCTGGACACTTTGCAGGAAGCCTTTTGTAACATCAGGGGGCTCAGAGGAAGAGTGAAGGGGGGGGGCAGACTGACCGGAGAGTCCTACTCACTGACTCACCCAGTCACACACACACACACACACACACACACACACACACACACACACTCATGTTTGGGATTATCACTGACGTAAGGGCCTTTTCTTTTTGTCGCCCTAAATGGGTTGGAGGTCCGTCCGTTGCACAGTGGCAGGAAAGTGACCAACACAAAGCCGTGTTTGTGTTGACCGGTGACGTGGAGGCCTGCTGTCCGAGCCCGTTTCCACTTTTCCTTCCCTCCCGCACGTCCGGCGAGAGGGAAGAGGTGGAGCCTCGGCCTCGTCTCGAACGCTCTGCCCTGACATAAGCACGGAATGAGCGCTATGTGCACATCACTGATGTTCGGTAGACACAACAGGATGTCAAACATCTCTCTGCTTCCACTCTCCTGTGAATCTGCCTTTTCATCCAACCAATAAGAGCCAATGGAATATCAAGTTAATCCTTTTAATTAGTCAGCTGGTTGTTGCGAGTCCCACACCCACATCAACGCATTGATCAGAATACCGTCTGCAGATCTCACAGTTCAGTAATGCAGTCAATGTTAAGAGCCTCCTGGCCTTAATATCCTGGCGTGATCCTCTGTTTTATGGGTCTCCTCATTTGTTGACTCTGGGCCCCTCCTGAACCCCCCCCCCCCCCCCCCCTCCTTCTCCTACTGCTGCCGTCTCAACTCTAGGTGGCACTTGATTTGTTTTCACCAACCTAATTCCCTTTCCAGGATGTGGGACTGATGTGATCACGTACTGTTTCATATGACGGCCTCGATGTGGCAGCTTGTCCCCGAGTGCTTTAAGAGGGAAAACTTTTTTATGTTTGATTCAATGTGAAGGATTACATGGTCGGTAATTTTGGACCATTTTTTTATCCTCAGTCAACCAGCGCTGAGAAAACTAAAGTACAGCGCGCGTCTGATTTGTTATGAGTCCGTTTGGGGGAATTTTCGCATAAAGCAGCTCAAATATTCATGAATGCCGCTGCAGTGATAAATTGGTTAAATGATTAGTCAATTGACAAAACATTTTTCCAAACCTTTTCTGTTTCGTTTTCTGACTGTTGGTCTCATAAAACCTGTCATGTTAAGGCAGCACCTTGGGTTTCAGGAAATGTTCTGACATTTTATATCACAAACAATGAATTATGGTATATCTTCAATAATATGAAGACATTAATACAAATGAGTGTTAGCTGCAGCTTTTATTTTGAAAGCTTATATTTTGCCCTGTTTGGTGAAAGTGTTCATGCTCAATGTGTCATGATATTAACGGACTTTTGATATCATTATAGCATAATTACATACATTCGTAACATTTAAGACTCCATCAATCTAGATTTGAGAGAGTTCCTCCTCACACAGCACACGGTCCCTCATCTTCTTCTTGCTTTCCCAGGACCGCGCCGCCACAACCAGACCATCATCACATCCGTGGATTTCCTCCAGCCAGCCACACTCCTCGCAGTCACTCCCTTTGTCCCATCATCTCCCTCAGCCCACCACCGGCCCCCCCCCCCTGCTCTGTGGCCCCCTTTCCGTGGTGCCACCACGTCTGCAGAGTGGGTGCCGGCTCCCTCCCCCCGGGGTGGGAGTGAGGAGCTGGGGGACGCACTCGACAAACCCCTGGAGAACGATGCGGAGGGCGTGTGGAGCCCCGACATCGAGCAGAGCTTCCAAGAGGCCCTGGCCATCTATCCACCCTGTGGCCGCAGGAAGATCATCCTCTCTGACGAGGGCAAGATGTACGGTACGCCCACCCCTATGTAATACTCAGACGCTGTACTGTCTTCTTCAATAGGGTGATTGACACGATACCCGAAGCGCTTTAGCAAGCCAGGAAGCCCGGCCCTTTATTTTACCGCCCTGACCGTTTTAGATCCAGTGTACCTCATTTTATCCCATTTGGATGTTAAGACAATGCTGTTGTCATGGAAACGTAGCGGCACCATCTGTCTAAGACAACACCAATAACCACATTTGTAACTGTTTTTTTAATATTCTAAAATGCTTTTATTTTTACCATACAAAAACAGATTTACAATACTAACACTTTAAAAACGTTTTAGAACTTGGATAAGAGTAGAAACTGGAATAATGGCATCTTTATATAGATAGGTTATAATGACCTGTAAAGCCCACACGCATCACAATTGACCACCGCAAGTTTTTGCATTGATATCTATTATAGCTTAGAGGACGGAAACAAATACGATAGATAACTAGCCAGGTGTGCCGTACTCTATTGGCTCATTGGATGTGGGCAAATGGCTGTTGAGCTGAATATGTGATGAGGTGTTGGGTGCCATTGACATTCTGAGGTTGTAGATTCATTTTTTAATGAATGGAATTCATTCCAGATGATTTTAAATAGAATGCAAGTTGCAGGATGTGAATAGAACCTCTTTCCATTCAAACACTACTGCATGAAAACACACTGCACAGTGTTGTGAGGCACAAACTGACTTTTATTTGCTTCCCACAATGAAGCGTTCCTCGTACGCTCCTTTTGTTCCACAAACTCTCACCACGTGCTCATCCAACACCACGACTCTGTTTTCATGTTTCACATCACAGCTGTCAGCTCCACTCGGCCCGATGTGTCACAAACCGCCGCACACACACTCATTCTTCAACACACGCATACACAATGCACCTCTCATGCAGACCTGCAAAGCTCTTTTTTTAACACTTACAGATGCAGAAAAATGGTGACCCAATGAACAGTAAATCGTTCACAGACATTTATGCAATTTTGGCAGTGGTGGTCATTTATACTAGATCTCCACATCACCTGCTAAACCGGCTCAGAGCAGTGGGGATAATTCTACCTCCCCAGTTGTGATTGCATGGCTTGGATGCCAGCTTTGTGTAAGGCAGTCTCAAGTAGGGTTAACTGTTGCTTGGTATCCCGCTGTCCGCTATTGTGCCACAAATAATTGATTCCTGGTTGGTGCCCTCCCAAGACTTCTGTTTTTCTTCCCTTCCATCCAAAATCCTAAAATAGTACATCAAGGTTTGGAGCAGCCAAAACTTTACTGCAGGTCGTTCCTTATTGAATCTTTGGCGGGTGTCATTGCCAAACAGGTGTTGGGAAGGTGAAGTAACATTACTCCGCCTCGCTGAAGGATGTTTAACAGATGGCGTTTCCATCGTGAGTCTGCCGACATCAGACAGCCTCTGTCGTCGCCTCGTTCTGTCACCGGGCCAGACAGCTCCGTTAACTGCAGCGCTAACTCAGCCCCCTATCCAGGTCACGGCCATCTTCTGATCAACACGTAAACCCTTATAAATCCTGTAATAATAGTTGGGGGGGGGCAGAGGAGAGTGGGGCAGGTGGCCGCAGGGAGGTGGAGGGGCTGCATGGGTAAAGGTGGTGATGGTGGGTTTCTTGGCAAGTCAGGCATGGAGGTGATGCGCGAGCCAGGGAGCCCGTCGGCCCGCCAGGAATGGCATGTGCACTCTGGAGTTTCACAGTGCACATGTTCAGAGTCGGGGGTTCAAGGCGGCTCGGCGGTAACCCTAAACCAGAATAGACGTTTACCCTTTGAGCGCCCAGAGGGAAGGAGGACGAGTGGACAAATAAACACCAGGTGAGCATGGGTGTCTTTTAGGGGTGCTTTTGAACCCTCACACCTGTCCTCAGTGTGTGTGTTTCTTTTACAGTGAGAAAGGTACAGGTTGTGCGTCCCTCCATTTCTGTGCTATTTACCGGGATATTTCTCCAATGTGTTTCAAATTCCCAGTCTGTCTTTGTCCTTTGTGAAGAGCTCCTGTCAGTTTGTCTGTCTGCCTTCCAGTCCTCCTCCGGCTGCTCTCCGAGCTCAACCTGACAGCAGCAAATACAGATGATACAGTGATCCCTTGCAGCCCGGCCCTTAGAGCCCCCGCAGCTCTACTGTCCACCCCGTTTTAGCACCATCTCCGGGGTTGCAAGTGGCCAACAACTCAAGTCATTCAAGCAACCACAATCAATGCAAAGCCACTTTGAAGGTCTTTAGTGTTGTTAATGTTGTTAAAGCGCTGATGGGTAGTCTTAAATCCGCGAGCCAAATCAAATATCAGCTGAGAATATCTTTAAAGGCATACATAAAGCCCTGACATGATGGGTTTAGAAATGTTCTTTAATCTTATTGCATTGGCTAAATGTGGAAACATAGACAAAATAAACTTGTGGCAGAATAACCGATGGCCCGGAGCGACATGAATTTGAGGTTGGATTCCACTCTGAGGAATGAATGCCATTCTTTACAAAACAATGATATTCAGTCTCCCAGCAGCAAAACAGAGGGAATGTGTGCTTCTATCGCTTCTTAAATTTCCAAATTGAATGGAATGTGTGTAGCCCATATTCTGGGCACATTCATCACATTTTACTCCCATAAAGCTGTGCATAGCTCCTGGCCCTCGCGCCCGTTACTCAACAGACCTATTAGCTCGCTTATTAGCGACGGTGTCACGGATATTGTGGCAGTTATGTGCTCCAGTGGTAATTCGACATGCATCTGCCAAGGAAAACATTTCCTGCCTTCTGCGGCTCTCAGCGAGCGACGTGCCCTGTGGTCTGACCGACGGCCTCATGCCGCAATAACGGAAAAACAGTCCCGAACTCGCAGTGCAGTGAGAAGCGCTGTGCTCACAGCTGTTACAAGAAGAATGTGGCGCTGGGAATGAAATCATCTCCCTCTTTATTTACTGCTACCATATCAAGTTATGTGCTTTCATAACTGTTCTATTTCATGACGCCTTTGGACTCCTTTTTATTTTGTAACTTTAAATATTACAACACACCTTAATGCAGCTGTTTTGTTTCATCCCACTTGAGTTTCTTAACATGCATGTGAGGTGCACTTTTTGTCACATTTTAATGGCTCCTGCTTGCTCTTAAAAAAAAAAAAAAGCCAAACGTGTGTTGAAGAGGATAAAGTCAACAACGCTTCCCTCCGTAGTGGCGTATTCCTTTTGTCAGTGCCGGACAAAGAATTCCCACACAATGAATCGTGCTCCCACTAAGCTTCGCTTGTGTAACACGTCAACCCTTTTTGTTTTTTTGTCAGGCGATGCAAATACGGTTTGACCTCAAGTCATTCTCATTAAGAATGTGATGCAAAGGTCAGTGAAAAGCACCGCGTCCTCACACGGGTACAAACTTTGGCAGTAGTGTGGGAAATTCACCAGTGGCCTTGTTCTGTTCCCCTTTAGTAGAAGCCTTTACAATGGGAGGGGTTGATAACCTAAATCTTTAATAATATAATACATCCAGACTTTCAGCCTCTTATAGGATTTAATGACCTCTGGCCTCTGAAGAAGCCTCCATCTCTGTCATTCTCTGTCTGTTGGTGCTCGTCCCCTGCCACCGATAGGGCAGCGCTAGCTGTGTAACAGAGCTGTCACTGTCACTTCATGCAGACATCTCAGATCAGCAAGGTGAGAGGTAGAAGGGTCCCAACGCGTCGGACATCTGTTGTGGAGATTTGAAATACGCGCAGCCTCGCGCAAACTACCTCTGCATTAAATCTCTGCAACTGCGACACTTGTGGCATGTTGTGTTAATATAACATGACATCTGTTAAATTTACTCTTCTTCTAAAAATACTGTACTGCGAAATCAAGAGCACATTTTTATCTCTCACAACCAGCCAGGAAAACTAGAGGAGGGACACTTATTTGTGAGTTTTGCTGATCATTTAAAAAAAAAAAAAAAAGGACCAAAATACCACGGAGCTAATTAAGAGTGAAAGGAACTGCTGCGATACACTGTTAGAATATTTTAATTATTCTATTGATTGATTTAGTGCACCGATGCTGGATGGTTTGTACATTTTTGCACTGACTAAAATAATTCAGGTCATGCAGCCAAGCCACCATTTAAATGAATCAATTTAACAATACATCAGTGGTTCTAATATTTTTTTTAATAATCGGGACCGAATTAGAAATATTGGATATTTTAGTGGGGCAGCTTATTTCTTGACAATTCTACTCTTTTAATTTGAAAAAAATACATAACCATCCCATAATTTAAAGACGAGTTGTCACATGATAAAATGGGATCATATTTGAAGGACGTTTTGGATAAAAATAACTAGATATTATAAGAAAATATCTGAAATTAAAGAGTATGTAATTGAACACGCTGGAGTTTGAGGTGTTTGTCGTGTCTTTGTCTTTGATGCCAGTTATTCCTTTCTGAGTGTGCAGGTCTGTTGAAGCACAGGCTACTGTTGCCCTTCTCGACTCGTCGCTGGCATCGAGGTCTTTTCAGAGCCCAGCCGGCTCTATCGGAAGGGAAATAACACCCGGCCAAGACATTCCTGGGGCCTAAATGTGACCTTTGTTTTCTCCAGCAGACACGCTGTTGAAGGGAACGTATGGCCAGCAGATGTCTTCAGTGTCCACCTTGGTGTGGGCAGTTTAATGTAGAAATAGTTCAGCGGTCTGAGGATTATTTTGTTAACCAGATCAAGATATCTGAAAAGAGACGCTGCCGTTGAGTTTTGCCAGAATGCTTTTCTGAGATTTACAACCAACCAGGCCCAGAGGTTGACTTGGGAAGGGATACCCTAAACCGACTTGAATGACCCCGGCGACCTCTCCCTGACCTCCACCAACAGGCCTGAGGACAAGGTGGAGAAGAGACCTGGAAGGGAAACTGGATAAACAGGCCTTTTAAGATCACCATGGCTCATTTCATTGATTTCATGTCACTTTACTTTAGGTCTATTCAGGCATGAATGAAGCAATAGACTTTGGATCACTCTCGTTCTGCTGCGGGTGTCAGATTTCCCCCATGAAGTCTGAGACTTAAACAACATGAGAATGCGGCCCAGTGGACGATGCTATAATGTTCCTAGCGACTTTCCTGCAGCCTTGGCTGGCACAGGTTTCCATCGGATGTCATGATCTCATCGCTGTGTGACCGAGTCTCCTCTCGGATCTCGTGGATGTGTTGGGGGGTATTTTGGACGGGGCCCTCCACCAGGAGTGGCAGGTCATCTGACGGCCCATTAATCTCGCTGTTGTTTGCATGCTAACTGGCTCATTTTGAACGGGGATGCCGTCTTATAGATGAAGCACTTTCACCGGTTCTCTGTTGGTCTTAGAATACATTTTTTAATCATTTTCTTCAAGAAAAAACTATTTATGGCAATTTATGGAACAAAAGAGAATAGATTGTATCCTCTCAGACATCCGTATTAATATTTTAACAGCAGAATTTTACAAATGTAATTTGGTTGTCTTTCCTGGTTGAATGTGCATCTTGCTGTACACTGAGTGAAGTTTGCAGGAGATGAATTGCTGGGAACTGGAACTTGATGGAGGAAACCTAATGCTCATTTTAGCTCGAGTACTGGGGAGACTTTGAAAAGCCTTCTGTTTGTCTTTTTGAAACTTTTATTGCGAGGAAATGTGGAGGAAACACGTTCTTAATCCCTTGGGAATTAAAGAAATGTGCATTTAGGTGCTCAAACAATCGTCCAGCGAGTGCACCTCCCGATAAACACTAAACGGTTCAGGAGTTGCAGCTCTGAAAGGAAAATAAGATTGAGACGGAATGAATGCCGAGACTCGGCCTGACATGTGTTAGTAGGTCTTTGTCTAGTGTGCAACAGTGTGGAAAAAGTGGAGTGGACGGCATTTGAGAGAGCGGTTAGCCTGTGTGTGTGTGTGTGTGTGTGTGTCAGGGTCCCGGGCTCAGATCCACCACTCGGTCCTCTCAGAACGCTGGATTTCATCTGCTCACATTTGAAATACTGCTGTACATGCTGCTTCTCTACAACACGGAGCTTATTTCCTAGATTCTTTTAGAGATTTCTAAAGGATATGGGATATGTGGCCTCTAAGAGCCCTTTGCTGGTGGTCTTGTTGGGGGCCGGTGTTGAAGTTTATTGGGGATGAGGGGATAACGTGTTATTTGAAGCTCACTAGGTGAACTTGGTCTTTTACTATCATAGAAGAACGTTTTAGACCATCTCAACATTTGGCTTGTTTCCAATCTGCTTGTGTTTCTTGCCGCGTCCGACTTCCTTTGTTATCACATCTCACTGTGGAGAGCACAGCGAAAATGATCCTTTAAATATGATTTCATATTTTAATAAAGCCTCTAAAAAATACATATAACTTCCTGTATCAACAAAGCAACATGTATCATAAAAAATCCCCTTGTTTTCTTTATAGCTTTAAAAAGTTGCAGGCTTCTGCTCGATAGATCACCAAACAAACTGACAGCGTGAGCTGTTCCTGTAATGAACCGCTATGACTTAGCAACGGAAGTAGAATACAATCCGGGGAAAGTCACGTGGGAGCAGACTGCGGTTCACATGAGCACCGACGGGCGCCTCGCGTTCCGACATAGAATCTGATCACTTTTACTGGCTGACAAAATTTCTTATGGGGGTTCATCCAAGTTTCGAGTTTCCTCTTTTTACCCTTTGGGGTCGCCTGATTGGGAGCTTCACGAAGCGGTGTGAGGTCTGACCCGAGCATCACTATGGAAGGGAAAATCTGACGGGTTTGAGCCCGGTTGTGTGTCGTGACTGATCTGCGTGTTAATTCACATGGAGATGTGGTGCCATGGGAAAAATGACTGTGTTTAAGAGGTGGTGCAAACTGTGTGTGGTGTGTGTGTGTGTGTGTGTGTGTGCACCCGGGTGAGAGCAAGAGTTGTGTGATTCACTCTAAATCATCCTTTGTGTGTCTGTGTGTGTAGTAACGGTTTGTAAAGTTTATCTTCTATATAGAAATAACAAATGTTTTCATCAATCAATGATCCTATTTTCCCATTTTTATTATACAAAAAAAATGTAATTACATTCCCTACAAAATGGCACTATTCATATGCATGAATTACACTCCCAACCGTTGTATAATTATGAAAACACTGTGTGTATTTAACAATAAAAGCCTTAATGACTAGAGTTTTAGTTCTTGAGAAGAGGTTGAAAGAAGCCACATGACCGTTAACCTCGCTGCAACCGGACCCTAAATGGGGGGGGGAACAAGCCCGAGATTTACTGCAGGCGTAAAGGCATATTCCATAAACATTGACACACACACGCCTGCGCCATGTCCGTCCCGAGTCCGGTCTGAGGATCGCATGGCTGCGGCCTCCACCTGCTCTGCCAATGTGACCTGTCCGTCAGCTCGCCGCGGAGCTGCGAGCTCGCTGCACACTCAGCGGCTCAGGCCGAGGCCAGCTCTCCCCCAGAAGGACGCTTTCATCGTTTGAGCGTGTGTTTGCATGTCATCTGTGCGTGCACGTATGCAAACTCAAATACGTGGTCGTGCAGACATGGATAGGAACGTGTTTAAGCAGCAAATTTACCTGCATGTAACTATGTGTACAGAAAATTACAGTGTGTATGCATTTCCTCATACGTTCTCTAATTCTTGTGATAGATTTAGAGGAGATGAGACTTTATGTTTTGCCGACTGGAACTTCATTTTTCCCACTTACTAAAACGCGGTTGTTTCGCTGTCCCTTGCAGGACGAAATGAGTTGATTGCACGGTACATCAAACTTCGCACGGGGAAGACACGGACCAGAAAGCAGGTAAGTTAAGGTAACAACCCCTATTTTTGAACTCCTCAAGGAAAAGGAATCTGCTGCTGAGTGATGCCTGGACACCCTGCCCCCCCCCCCCCCCACCCCCCAACCCCTACCACCTTCTTATACACACACATAGATGCTGATCATGTGTCAGTGTTCTTCACCACCTCCTGGATCTGGTGCTTGTTAGAAGGGTAAAGAAGCCGCGGAACACGGGAATCGTGATGGGAGGACGGGGCGGGACAGGCGAGGGATTTGGAACTTTACCCCCCCCTACGGCATCCGATATGGACGGACTGATCTACGGGCAGTGATGGATGTGGGGAGTAGGGATGCCGGCTAAGTGAAGGATTATGGATGGAAGGTGCGACAGGATGGGGGGATAGAGAGACACCTGCTGGTCCAACAGCAGCAGTCTGAGGCACTTAAAGAAGTTCAGACAGAAATATTCAGACAACAAACGTCGCAATGTAATGAAGCAAATGACGTATTTTCCTCTGTATGTGTAAAATGTGATAAATCAAGCTTATAATACAAATAATGAGTCAAAAAAGGACACAATAACAGAACGTTACTAGTAAAACCGCTTAATAATATTGAGTTATTTTTATATTAGCGTGTATTGTTTTTGCCTGGCAAGGTTATTTTAGATGTTTGAATTAGTCAGATGAGGCTGACGAGGCACGGATTTAGTTTTTCAATTTTTATTTAGCCGTGATCAACTATCAGAAAGTCAGCGCAATGTTTAGATCCTATTCCTACCTGAATGGATTCCAAATATTTGCTGACTCATTCTGTGATGGAAAACGCATGAATAATTAAACAAAGGAAGCACAGGGAAACACGCTGTGATGTGCTCGAAGCACCTAACTCATCCCTGCTGTGTTGTCGGCCCTTTAGGTCTCTAGTCACATCCAGGTTTTAGCCCGACGGAAGGCCAGGGAGATCCAGGTGAAGCTGAAGGTACGCTACGTGAGTCAACTTCTTTTTGCTATTTTACATCAACTAACTGGAAGATTTAACATCGGTTTGTTCAATTTGTTCCCTTATTTAAATCTCAATGTGCCTGGACAGTTCAGATTTGCTCACAGGCAGAGGACATAAGCTCATAGATTAGTGTGTTATGTTTCACTTTGTTTCATTTTAATTGAATTCACGTTGAGCAGCAGCAGGAGGCGGGAAGAGGATGATAACGTTATTACTCAGTATTATTCCCTCTTGTAACACAATTTAATGTTTTGTCCAAGGTGTGGCCCTTGCGCTGCCGTGAATTCACACGCCATTAACACAAGGTTGGCGATTTAATTGCACCCTCTAATTGATACAGCTTTATAATGGCATGCTGATGTGTGAACAGATTTCAGGAGGCCTGAGATTCAATGTGCACTTATGAACAAGACAAACCAAACGCAATTGTGAAGAAGCAAATGAATCCCTGCATTGCAAGTACCTCAATAAAAGTGTTAGTACCCTGAGGGCTCTCACACATCCCTGCCCCCCCCCCCCCCAGTACTTTCTCAGTTTGCATTACTCGTCCACGTACAACCGCATACTGGCAGTGGCAGCGGGCCTCTGGACTCTCGCTCACCTTGGAGAGCGGCCATGAGGGTTCAGCTGGCAGGGCCTCTGGTCACAGGGTTGGGCTCCGTGACGGCCCTTTTTTAAATAAGTCTTTGGTGTAACTGAGATCTCCACCACATGTGCCCCCCCATATTTCAGCAATGCCCTTGTGTTCGCAAGTTCTGGGAAGAAGAATGCACCAGGTGGCCTCCCCCGTTAGGGCTGGGCGGCAAGCGCTTGTAGCGGTTGGTGGTTTGGAAAATGCTGAAGGATCCAAAAACAAGACGTTTATCACTTTACAGTGTTACACGGGACGGATCATTTTAGAGCTGTCTCACTATTTTTAACCCAGTGCCGTTGAGCGCTTTTCATGCAATTATTAGCATATAAACATATTAGGCTTTTCCTCGTCCCGTATGCCGCTGTGACCTCCAACAGAAGCTGGTTGTCATCACTGCGGTGCGCCTGCCAGACCAATAAACTTAACTCTTGAACCTTGACTGTAATATCACCTTCCCTTCAGTTCACCGCCTGGCACAGATTCACTGATGATGCAAGCTGCCCTCGATGCTTCATTTCCCTTTTTAGGGCTCTGCTTGTGGTACCGGGAAAGCCAGGCTCGGACCTAAATGGCGTCTGATGAGTGCGCTACCTTCAATGTGTGCATCGGTAAATGTCTGTCTGTCTCGCTCTGTGTTCCTCCCCATAGGACCAGGTCGCCAAAGACAAGGCCCTGCAGAGTATGGCCACTATGTCCTCAGCCCAGATCATCTCGCCCACGGCTTTCCAGAACAAGATGGCCCTCCAGGGCCTGTCGAGGCCGGCTTATCCCACTGCTGGTGGGGTGAGTCCCTTACAGTCGTCCCCTGCAGCAAACACTTTCTTTATTTATTATCAAGAAACTGCTCTGAGTAGGTGGAACTGTGTGATATAGATGTGGTTTGTTCATCACAGTTTTGGCACGGGACCCTTCCAGGACAGCCGGGAGGCCACGAAGAGTGAGTAGCCAATCTGTCCCCCGTGGAGCGCCACAGCGTCCATCGGCGATTTCTCATGCGATCAGCCTAATAACCATCAGATACATTTCAGAATGAAACATATCAGTACAATTATACATGAGAGTCTTCAGCTGTCTGACATTGGGCATCCCACTCTGCCCCCCGTATCTTGGGAGGTCACACGGTCCAATTAGTACATGAGATCTGCGTAACGCGCCTCTCCCTGTCTTGTCTGTCTCGTCTCTCCAGCATTAAGCCCTTCTCCCAGCAGAGTTACGCCATGCAAGCGTCCGGCCCGACCCCAATAACAGGTGGGTGCTCCTCCCCCCCCCCACCCCCCAACGTCCTGCGTTGACGGACGGCTGTCGCTCCGGGGAAGCGGCGAGACAGCCCAGCTGGAGATAAAGAGCTCGCACGGAGCTCAGGGAAAATAGCTGCAAGTGTCGCAGCATCTCATTTTTAAGGTTTTTACATTGTCACACTCAAGCCGCACATTTGAGCCCCCCGCTGCCCCCCCCCGTCTGCAGGTTATGAGAGCACAGCAGGGCTGTCAATGTCTCCTGGTGCCCCCTCCTGGCTGGGCAGAAGTATTGCCAGCTCCAAGCTGCGAATGCTGGAGTTCTCTGCCTTCCTGGAGCAACCGCAGGACCCGGAGAACGTGAGTGGACGAGCAGGAGGGGAAATCATATTTCCTGTCGTATTTACTGTCACTATGGTTCTTGCCCATCAGAAACTCCTATTGACAGGTTCCTCACAGCGAAAACTCACTTTTATACACATTGTTTTGTGGCAACAACATTCTGATACAGAATGAACTTATATAATGTAATAAAATACTGATTCATATTTTGTATCATGAGTGACAGATGAGTAAAGCGAGCGCAAAGAAAGGGCTAGGACCCTCGAGACGGGTGATGGGATGTTACAATGAATAGGTTTCGTTCGACCCACGGCGTCAGTTTAGCAACCCGGACAAGTGGCATTTGTTCATCTCCTGTTATGCACTTTGGTCTCCCCAGTTCAACAAGCACCTGTTTGTGCACATTGGCCAGTCCAACCCGAGCTACAGCGATGCCTATCTGGAGTCTGTGGACGTCAGACAGATCTACGACAAGTTCCCAGAGAAGAAAGGAGGCCTGAAGGACCTGTTCGACAAAGGGCCACACAACGCGTTTTTTCTCGTCAAGTTCTGGGTAAAATATATTTTCAAAACTTTTTGGGGAGAGAAATCCAGTTCTGATCAGTCCAAACCCATTGCGTTTGTTCCCTTTATTTCATTTTGGTTTTTTCAAATTACGGTGGATAAATTGTTTCAATGTCAAATACCCGTTCCGTTTATGTAAAGCTCAGTCCTGCATCATAAGAGCATGTAATCCTCCCAGAGTCACGGCGCTGAAGTAGTCTTGTTAATGTTTTGTACCACCTGTTGGCTGATAACGGCTTGGCGGTGTCAACTTTGTTGGGATAGTTTAAGCATTGAAGCTAAAGGAACTTAAGCGCGATTTGAAGCCAGATTTAAGGGAAAGCCAAAGCTCCCATCACCTGACTGCTGCTTTATTTGCCAGCAGAGAAAGCAAAGCAGCTCAGCGCGCATTAGACGTGTGTGTGTTTGTGTGTGACTGTCAAGTGAATATGTGTGTGTGTGTGTGTGTGTGTGTGACAGCAGCCTCGGGGAGAGTGGCAAGTCTGATCTTTCACCGGAGGAAATGAGAAACCAAGCACCTGTCTCGGCGCTATTAGACCCCCCCCCCTCAACTTATTTATAGATACGCCCCCCCCAAAGAAACACATACATACACATACAGACTAAGAAATAAAGACAGACGGAGCATAATGTGTGATATCATTGAATATAGAATACAAACTGTAAATGGGCATTAAAGAAGACGGACACAGAAGGGGGCTGAAGGTGAAATTAGACACGTCCATTTCGTTCATGTCAGCCGATCGGCGCCACCTGGCCTTCCTATTTGTGTCACGCACAGCACGTACACGCTTCCCAAGCCTCGTTACCTCGAGTAAAAGTACATTTACTTAAGTAAATGTTGTTGTCACAAACTATCACTGAAGAAACGATTACTTCAAACAAAGATTGGCTCATCAAAAGAGGAAATCAAATCATAATTAATAGAAAATACAAGATAACAAACATCTTGGTTGTCACGCTATTTTAATCACTAAGTGCATGCACGTTGCATTAATGACCCTTTATAACCTGTGGACGACTTTTACTTGAGGTGAGATTATAATGGATGTCAGGTGCTCAAAATAAAATGATTTAAATATTTGTAATACAGACAAATAAATAATACTTTCCTGATATCTAATCACAAATGAGGGGAGAGCCTCCCCCAAATTAACCATTTCTTGTCTCATTGTTCTATTTTCCAACATTTATTCACACACATGTATGAAAGTCATCAGATCTCGCTCATACGAAATGTATGAATGAACTGAGCATAAATATCTTCCTACCATTGAACAAGCTACTGTACTTATTTCTTCAGTCTTCACCTACTGCAGGCGCCTACCAGTACGATGCGTTTTCATCTTTACTATGCGGGGGCTCCTTCAGTAGCACCTGATGCACACCAGGTGACCCAAACACATCCAGCCTCTGGAGGTGAGCTGTTGGGTACCAACAGAGAATACCACACTGAACAATGTTAGTCCTTCTCTGGCGTCCGTTGATCACATCAATGTGCTCCAAAAGCACGGAGTACAAATCTTCCACACGAGACAAAGAGATGGCAAGTACTTTGAGTATGGCAGTATTCTGCAGGTCCGACTTTAAATTGTAATCATTGTAGATCTCTGCAGCCTTCCGAAGTGGTGTGCATCCTTTAAATAATGCTCTTCTGAGATGGTGAGGGTGGAGGGAAGAATATGCTGTCCAAACAACCTTCATCCTCTAACCCACTTATTCAAAAACGGGTACCGTTGGAGGCCATCAGATGGAGCAGATAGTCTTATGTAGCGTTAAGTGCTGTGGTTCCGAGTGCCAACGACGCTGAATGTCAAGTTCAAATCGTTGCCTCGCAGTGTCACACCAGCGGGTGGCTTTGTAGGCATGACACGGCCCCTCTCACATGTTTGACAGCCACATTATTTATTGTATAGAGATAAAAGACATTGGTGAGTGACACCACTAAGAAAGAAGTCTTCTCCCGTCCTCTGAAAGAGCAGCTGGTCAAGCCGTGGCATTCGATCCAGGGGTGAGCGGGAAAGAGGGGATGAGAGGCCATACATCATAAAGATAAAGGGAGCAAGACGGCAAAGGATAGAACCAGGGGCACAGGGATTGCAGACATGTGGCAGGAGAAAGCGCACGGGGCCATGTAAGCAACAGGTCCTTCATCAATGAATCACAAGCCTCTCAGACAAACTCTCTGTTTGTTCATTTCATCGTGTCCCAAGGGGCTGCTCCGATTCTCGAGGCATCCGTGACAAAACACAGAAATGCGACAAAACCGCTGGGGCATCTCAATACTGAAAAAAACACGCTCCCGGCCATGTGAAATAAGCGAAATGAAATCCTCGCACATCTGTAAATACGATAAGTGTTTTATGCCATTTAAAAGAGCCTCTTTGACGTGGCCGCGGCGGGACAAGCACATGGCAGGTCATGACTCGGGGCTTCGCTGAGGCGCAGGTTGGCATGGTGACGGTGACAGGCGGCCGGCCCACCTCCAAAGCTATGGCCTTGCAGATTGAATTTCCAGCAAACCCCCCTGTCGGCCGATGGGCGCCCTGCCCCGCTCCCCGCCTTCCTCCTCACCCTCCCGGCGCCCGTGGGCCTGTCCTAACGGATTGTCTCACGCCTTTGAAGTGCAGAGGGAATCCGATTTGAGCCGGCTCTGCTAAATTGTTACACAGCCGGCCTGCCCGCCATGATCTAATCAGCCAATTGCATGCTGCTGATTGTAATTGGATGAATTCCCTCGCAGGCTGTTAGAGAAGCAGGGAATGGCGGTTTGGGGAGGGTCACTAGGCCCGAGGGATGAAGACAAATAGAGGAATTACACAAGCCGGGGATGAAGATGAACGGCGTGATGAGGGCATGAGAGGAGGCTGAGCGGTGTCTCAATGGCCCATTAGGAGACAAAAGCCCGACAGGGGAAAAGGTAAGACAGCCCAGCTGTCTGACGGAGGACATGGACGCCTCAGTATGATCCAAAATCAGATTATATGCTACTTGCCTTGATTCTAACTCAAACTGGTGTAAGGATCAGCGACGGGTCGATCCGCATGAGGATGAAGATACTCGACACTACGCTGCCTTTAAATTCAACTAGTGAGGCCTTTTTTTGAAGTAGGGAGTTTCAGTCGTCGCTAAGCATCATACAATAAAACAGATGTAACAGATGTATATGTATCTATATATATACATATCAATCAAACTTTTACTTTCATTTTTAAAAGTTTGCATCAGGCTCCTCATGTCTTTGAGTCATGAGGTTTCACCTCCTCACACAGCCCACTTGTCACTAAGGTTGCAGATTGATTTATCAATGTCCTGGTATTATTGGTTGAAATTGATTGATGCTATAGCTAACTTAAGAACACATTGTGATTTTTTGTTGCATATATTATTAAATAGTTGCAAAATGTGACTGTAGATGTAAACTCTTGAGACGTGCACATAAAGAAACGCAACAGCAGCTTGTGAATGTAGAGGCTGGATTTGAGCGAGCTACACTGAGTCAACAAGGATCTGGCCAGTGAATGCCTCTTGGCTTTGCAGAGCTTTGTTGAGCTGCTCCACTCCGGATGACGCGTCTTTGTCAGACTGACACACGTCACTCCTTAATATCCACGTCTGTGAGCAGAAAGTGTAATATTTTGTATTATGGAAGCCTATCTGAGCAGGCGTGTGGTGTAGAACACGCGTCTCACACAGGTAAATATGGACAGTAAATCCTCATACATGCCCACATGCACCACCAGGCTGCAATAGCGGCTCCTTTTGGGTGGGACTGATGGGTGTGTATTGCTATTTGTTTGGTCCCTCCAGGCGGACCTCAGTATTAACCTGCAGGATGACAGCAGCTTCTTCTACGGGGTTTCCAGTCAGTACGAGAGCTCTGAGAACATGATTATCACCTCATCCACCAAAGTCTGCTCCTTTGGAAAGCAAGTGGTGGAGAAAGTGGAGGTAAGACAATGTTTTGTCAATTTAAACTAGTCTGGTGAATTTCTATGAAAATGACCTCGTATTTATTATGAAACATTGTAAAACTAAAATGACCCCAAATACTTTCCAGCAACATACTGCTGCCTCACCATCATAGTCCAGATGGGAGAAAGTCCCATACGTGCTAATCTACAGTATGTGATTGTTTGCTCGCTATTTTCCCTGCAAAGAGTCGCACAAAGCGAGTCATTATTTCTGAGTCTATTTCATGTTTTCTTTGGATGGAAAACCTTTTAAACCCCCTTTTCTTGCCCAAAAAGCTGATTCTGAAGCATCAATATGAATATTGATATATCTGACTACTGATTACTGATTGCTCAATCGCTTTGGGATATTTCGGCGTTAAGCGGTCATGACCCCCTCCCCAGCATAACTAACCGTTGCGCTTCCCGTTTACAAGACACAAAAGTGCCCCCCCCCCACCCCCCCACCTGCGTCTGATGGATTGCACAATATAAACACGCACATGGCTAGGTAGAGCCATCTGATGATATTTAATGGCTCCATGATTTGATCACTGTTGTCACAAGAAATATGTTTATTGCCATAACCGGCATGCCATATGCTGCACTAATTCTATTATATCACAGTTTATCACATAGACGTTCGCATCCGATGTATCAAATTGTGTGTCAGTGGAATATGTATGCAGGTTGTTTTACAGAAGTGTTTTAAATTCTCTTTGCACATTTATTGGACTGCATGCTTTTATTGTTAATTCTCTTTGTCTTTTTCTAGACGGAGTATGCCCGTTTTGAGAATGGACGCTACGTGTTTCGAATCCATCGTTCCCCTTTATGTGAATATATGATCAACTTTATCCACAAGCTCAAACACCTGCCGGAGAAGTACATGATGAACAGCGTACTGGAGAACTTCACTATCTTACAGGTATCCCACCGACAGCAACCAGGGACAGACTGTAGCTCAAAGTGTGTATTGGTGCTGAGGGCCGCTCTGCTGCTATTCGATACCATTTTCAGTCATGCTGTTAAATATTAAACAAAACAAAACAAACAAAACAATGTGTGGTTTTTGAGGAGTGTCGTCACCAATACAGATAGATGATAAATGTCATGAGATATCAGATATCATTTCTGACAGCATGCTGGAGAAGATAACCTCAGAAGTAACATGCAACATCCCAGAATTCTGCTTCCTCCCATCCTGCCCACACGATTTTCTCGATCTCCAGGGGAAAAGAGCTAGTCCTTTGTTTGTATTTATGCTAAGCTAAGCAAACTGGCAGCTGTCGGGAACTAAATGCGGTCTGAGTGGAATCAATTAACTTTCTTTCTTCTTTGCTAAGAAGGCAAACAAACACATCCCCTATAATGTAAAAAGCAATTGCTCAAAGAACTTTAATACGATACCAGTATAGTGATTGAGGAACAATTACTCACATCCACAGTATGATGAGATGTAAAGAGGCACAAACAGCTCGAATGTATTAAGATGTGAGTCGTTGTCTGCAGCACATTGTGTTGTAACTATTCTGTGGAGACGGTGCACACACAGATGGACACTACAGGGATGTTTAGTATGAAATTGAAAGGAAGTACACAAAGTGCTTTTTGCAGCCCCCCCTCTGTGGGAAACAGGGAAAGTGCCCTTTAGTCCTCATCTCAGAAGGAATATAGTTGCGCTGTGATATTTCAGGAGTTTCTTGCAGAGTTTAAATATTTCATCCATTGTACTGTAAGTTTTCTGAATGAGTAGTCCTTAGAAAGCCAACAGAGGACAGAGGGAGGTGAATAGACTAGAACGTATCACCATAGTAACAAAGTGGTCCTCAGCACCAGCGTTCAAAGAAATCGGTGTTCCTTCCATTGGCGGCTGCATTCCTCCGGGACCAGGGACAATGACCATATTGAGCCCACGCTGACGACGGCATGGCAGCATGTCATTAGCTTTCTCAATGGGCGGGTTTAGCTCCTATTAAACAGGAACAGCACACACATGGGCGCACTGGCGCTGACACACGCAAAGACAACGCACGGGTACACTCACAGACTCCGCTTGGTCCATGTGCCTCATGTGAGTGCAACGTGCACTGAATGGATGGATGCATAGAACAGCAGAACATCCTTCAGAATTCATTATTGTTTATTATTAATAAAAGATTTAACTCTCTCTATGAATCCTTGACAAAAAACTACCAAAAAGGAGCATGTGAATTTATTTCTTTATATATTCGTTTGACTTTTAGATTATTTACTTAAAATATAAGTATACAAAATATATAAAACAATAGAATGGAGATGTCTGTGCTTTCCAGTGTTTACATACTTCTCTGCTAGCTAGAAGAATGAAAAATAACAAAGAATACAGGTAACCAAGGTTACAAGGGTCTTTACCCCCCCAAAGATTGAGTGTGTGTGTCTTCTTTGTCCACAGGTGGTGACTAACAGGGACACACTGGAAACCCTCCTGTGCATAGCCTACGTCTTCGAGGTGTCCACCAGTGAGCACGGCGCACAGCATCACATCTACAGGCTCGTCAAAGACTGAGCCAGTCTCCCAGCTGGACCTTTCCCGCTCTAGACCATTCGTAGCACCTCAGTGAGCAACAACACTAAACAATGGACTACTCCCTCCGTGAGCGTACAACTCCATCACAAGCCCAGGGACACGGTGGCTCTGTCGGCATGCCCAGGGACACTAGGCCTGCCGGGGAAGAGGTGGATTTGGGATTGTGGAAGCTGAGACGGGCTTGGTGTGAAAACTGAAAAAAAAATAAAAGAAGAGAGAAGAGGAGCACGATGCGCCGTGGTCTCTGCACCAAAGGAGCCTCACGAGACCTGCATGAGAAGGTTGTCATTGTTGGTGTTTTTCATCTCATTTTACTAGTGCTTGTTTTGGATTTAAATTAAGAGTGCATGTGCAGGGGACATCTGCCGCGGATGAGTTTGGCTGCCTGAGGGCGCCACCTAGTGACTTAAATATAAATAACAATGGGGAAAACTAGTACAAGTACACTGAGAATCCCCCCTTTGCACATCCATAAAATATCCCTGTTTTTGTGCCAATAGTTTGTGTTATGTTAGAAATGGTGTACAGTGCTACAAGTCATCTCCTCTAGAGTAACGTAAGAGGCTAAAATGATTTGAAATGAAGAGCTACTGCATTCACTTTGTTTGACGTTTAATGTTAAATGTGTCTTGTATTGTCTTACTGTTTTTGATTTAAATGATCTGACTACAACAAAAGGCACATAATAACACTGCTAACTTGAAGCAGACTGAGGTCTGTAAGCTGATTACAGAGGTTGACTGTAACTGCACGTTGCCCTGAAGTGACAGATGAAAATACAAGTGTTTCTTACATACGTAACTCATCTGTTGCCGTATTCTTTCTGCATTCTGTTCAATTGTCTGCAATGTGTGACATACTCATAAGAACACACAGAGCGTTGAGTTCTCTTAGGTCTCCCTGTTATAAGTATAATATTGGAAGGTTTTGTTAATTGGGCCGCAGGGATCATGAATGTGAACTTTATCCAGAGATTTCTCGTCACATATTCAATCCACTTTATTGTGGAATGTTTTGTTGATGGCCCTTAAGGTTCCACAAATGTTATGGAGGATCTGCTTGCAGCTGCAAAACATTAACATTAATAGCTGATGTCTGCCATAATAACTTATGGCAGACATCAGAAACCAAAAGGGTAAAAGTAGGTAAGTAGCTTCAACTTCAATCATTTCCAGTATTAATTCATCCATTGAGTATTTAAATTGGCAGTTGTTCCAAAGTCACCGTATGATTTGCACACTTAATTTATTCACCGTATTTTTTAAATGTAGGTAAAGATTTAACTAGTAAACATATCAGAATATCTTTAGCACATATTGCAGAGTGTGCGTATGGAGTTTAGGACCCAGCTATGGAAAGTGAATGCTGCCCTCTGGTGGTTTGGAGATATCGTTACTCTTTCCGGTTCACTTCAAATTAAAGCATTTCCCCAAACCTAAAAGCTTCACCATTTTAATAGTTGATACTCAGTGACTCCTTCGAGTCCAACACATTAAAAACTACACTCATGCTGGAAGAACACTAACTTCCCGTTAAATCCAACAGTGTGTGTAAACCAAAGAACACGACGCTCCCTAGATATTAAAGTGTACTTTCAATCACAATGTTTGTCTTATCTGTAAAGCATACTTGAATAAAGTAAAGACTTAGGGTAGAATCTATTGGTAGTGAAATGACAGATTTTGAAGAGGTTAACAACCAATTTTTAAATAATTTATGGAGATGGTTTTGACTGTTTTATTCAAATTATTTCTATGGAACAGTTTCCCCTAGATTGCAGTTTACCGCCTAATCTCCATAAGCTCCCAGGTGTAAACTGAGAACATGGCACACGGTGAAGAATTAAGCTCACAACCGGTGAGAGAAACAAAAAAAACAGGAGAAAAAAATAACTTTTAGTTTAATTGTGCAAAGAGGTGCCTTACAATGAGTTCTTTGTGGTTCATTAATACCCGCAATGTGGAGATGCAATTAAAATGATTGAGTTAAACATTGTCGTGCACAAGGTCTTTACTAAAATACAAAATCTTTCTCTCTTTCGAAAGAATTTGCCTCTAATGTTATGCAGGGGTGGACAAAAACACTTTTCTTTTATTTAAATTAAGAGAGGAGTCAAATACAAATACTGAGCATTGGCTTTCCATAGAAAGTTAGTTTTCTAGAATTGGGCAGCTGATCAACTTCACAAAGGTGCAGTGAAACAATGTGTCTCTTTCCTCGTGTCCCACCCGTATTTACTGATATATTCCATGTACTCTATGACTGACTTGATTTAGTGCACATCTTAGTCAGCTTTTTCATTCCAAATTCGGGAGTATTTGGGCACCCTTTACGCACGGCCGGGTCTCCTCCTCCAGGTGCGTGTCTGTGACACACCTGGAGAGACTCCAGAGCACCGGCTCCACAGCCATGTCGCTGCTCGGTCCACACGGTGATTTGACGCCGTCCGACCTGCATTACGCGCCATGAACGTCACGCGGGGTTTGCTGACGGTCCTGAGCCTGCTGTGCCACACCGAGTCGAGATGCTCGCCGACGTCGTATTATAAGAACTGCTGGATTCGACGATTTCCCGGGATCTTCATCGACATCGAGGAGTCGCAGCGGCGAGGAGCGCAGCTCCTGAGGTTCCACCAGGAGGAGACTGCGCTGAAATGCAGCCGCGCCTGTTGCCTCACGAGGAACTGTGAGTCCCACACGTGTCCAGCTGTCTCCTGGCTTTTTTGTTGTTGTTCTTCTCTGATTTGATTTTCTTTCCTCTCATAGTTTCCTGTAATCTGGCCATATTTCACTACGACACCACCCAAGAGAATTGCTTCCACCTGCGCTGTCCCACCGCGGAGAGCTGTGTTCTCCGCCACAGAGGCAACGTCGTTCTGTATAATATCACAAAGGGTGAGTACGAGCTCAATGCTGGGGTTCCCCTACGTGGTGTAATGTATGACTATGAGCAGTCTATTCTTATTCACAGGGGCCAATTGGCCCTACAGAAACATGTGGTCATCACTGTACAACCCGACCCGATTAGAAGACTACAACCAAAATGACTACATGCGTATTTGTAACAATCGGAAAATAGATAGGCCTTAGTCAATGGATGTGAATACTTCTGCTCCACCTACTACTACTATAACACAAAATACTACACCAATTGAATGCATTCTATGGAATTATTATAATAGATTTTCCTGAAGACACCGTTGACATGTCAGCAACAGTCCTGACTCCAGAGGTCTTTGTTCCTCAGGCGTGGATCCCGACCTGTTGGTGTTCGGGAAGCACTTCACCTCCAACGTACGCGTGTTACCCCACCACTACGGCCGAGGAAACGCCTCGGAGCCACTGCCCTCTGACAAACGCCACTTCGTCCACCCTCCTCCGGCCCCCGCGCCGCCTCCCACCTCAGCAGCCACCGTTCAAAGCCCCACCACCTCCACCCTGACGCAGCACAGCGCCGCTCAGCCGCCAGCCCTTCACGCAATGACTGTTCACGTATCCTCAACTTCAGGGACCGATGCACAAACAACAACAACAACAACAGCAGCAGCAGCAGCAGCAGCAGCAGCAGCCGCCTCCACCACTTCGCTGGCCCCCAGCTTTGCCACGCCTCCTTCCTCCAGCGCAGCAAACACCGTCGGCTCTTTCGATCCCAAAACCTCTGCGGCCTCTTATGGCGACCCCCCCGCCCACCGTGACACCACCAGCTCCTCTCAGCCGGCCTCCGGACCCCCGGCTTCCCTGGCCCCCGTGGCCAGTACAGAGAGCGCTAAGGCCGGTCCCGGGTGGAACCACACTGCGGGCAGTGGCGAGGGTCACGGGGTCAGTGGGGAGGGGGGAGCCGGCTGGCAGGCCGCCGCTCACACCTTGCTGGTCGCGGGGGCCGTCTGCGTCACAGTGGTGCTGGGCTGCTGCTGCTGCTGCTCCGGTGTGCTGCTGGTGAGCTGGAGGGGTCAGAGGAAGCGGATGGGATGGTACCGGACGTCGCGGCGAGGAACACCAGGCTCCATGCGCCTCATCAAATACGTTCTGGTCAGAGAGAACACCTGAAGAAGACGGGACTGACTTTTCTCTTTTGCTTTAATGAGGGAATCCAGGGTGAAGAGACATTTCATTGACATGAATTAGAATTCATATATTTTTGTAAAAGAATTGATTATTTAATGGAAAGAACAAGGATGGAATTGCTTTATTTGTAGCTGATACAGATGAAAATACGTTATTGTTAACTGATGCATTGCTCTGTATATTTAGGGTGAGACGACCATCGGGGGATTCTACTTCAAGACTAGTGGAGAGAAAACCTACAAAATAGTTTCCACGCTTCTCTATTCACCCGTAACTCACCAAGACGTCATTCCAAAAGACATTTAGTACCAATAAGAAGTGTAAGTAATCAACTATTTTTATCCCATCTGTAGCATATTGCAAATTACAGATTTTGAATTGTTTTCTTTACCCCAAAAATTAGATTTCATCCACACAATTAGTCTCACACTCATATGCTTCACCTTCCGGTTTTATCTATGATGTTTTTCATATATCATTCATGACCTGATGAAGGAAACATTGTTTTATTGTTGTGATAAACGATTATCTGAAACCCCATCACTAAAATCCTTCAACGTGTCACTAAATGAAATCACATTGAAACTGGCTTCATCCAGTTCGGTTTATGTATAAACGTATTTGATTCCGTATTACAACATAATTTGTCTTAACGTAAGTAATCGACTGGGGTTTTGTTTAGTGTCCCCAGTCAACAGGCCCTGTGTGTCCTTGAAGGGATTACCCAATAAGTTCTATGATTTAGGTTTCTATAATGATGCTTTGTGACATAAGAGCCAAACAAAGTCAATTAATTTGACCGCAGCGATTTGCCTGAAGTAAGACGATATGTCCGTTTGGCCGGCATACATTTACCTCCATGAGTTTAAGCCGATGTTGCTTCACAACATAAAGAACTGGCCACTTTTCTACGCTGGTCTTAAGTGGGACTTAATGGGCGCCAAGAAAAAAAGACAGACTGCTACACTCTGTGATGACGGCTACTTTTTGCCTTCAGCGTTTAACCCTCCTTCAGTCCAGCACATCAACCTCAGTGCATCAGGTTTCTGGTGACCTGGAGGTGCCTGACCACCAAGCAGAACTCTTTTTTCACCAGCGTGCTGCTGAAAGCCTCCTTTCACCGGGGCTCCCACTCCTCCACCCGACGGCGGGACGGCGGCGCAGGCTGAGAGGGGCTTTCATCACCTAAAAGCTTTCAGCATCAGTTCACACGACTTTTACACTTCAACAGCATACATTTTATTTTGTATTCAAGACAGTATCATACATCGTTGGGCTAATGGAACAATACGTCAAGTGATCTGAAACTGGTGTGAAGATGGAGACCAAAATAAGACGCAAGTATTATATAGTAACGTTTTTGTGAACCCCGCTGCTCTTGGTTTCCATCTGTGTGTAAATACATATGTATCACAGGTTGAGCACCTTCTTGACGGCCTCTTTGTACAGCATCACGGTGCTCTCGCTCTCCCCTTCGTTCTTCAACCTGGTGACACTGTCCTTGTACTCCTGCACCTCCCTTCTGCCCAGCAGCTGCTCTCGCACCTCCTCGCCGCCTCCTCCTCCCTCCCCGGCCGCTTCCACGCGTACCAGCGTGTCCAAGAGGTTCCTTTGGGACGGACTGTCCTCCCAGCTGTACTCCTCCATGTCCGCCACGCTCTTCTCGGCCTCCCACGGCTCCGTTTTCTGAAGATCGAGTACAACGCAACACACGTGTCAACGTCACGGACTGCCAGCAGGGTCGTCTTGAACTGTGGGAGTGTCAATAAATATTATAGTAACAAAGATTCTTCTTTGGTTTGTAAATCCACCGGCTGTGGTTGGAAAGCCATTATGGCACCAGATGTAAAAACACTGGGGGTCCTTTGATGCCCCTCTCACAGAGATAGTATTTCTCTTCATGCAGCCCGACGTTCCCCCGAGAACAACGCACGTCATTGTGCGGCGGTTTAAAGCCCTCAGCCCTCCGGGTGTTTGAGGTTAATGACCGCCGTTAGCGCTGTACGCATCTGAGCGGCGTCCCGTCCCCAGCGGGTCCAGGCCCTCGAGTGGGGGGGGCGCACTAGATACTTACTATTACGGATCAGTGGCTTTACCTCTGAACAAAAGAGTTCAGTCACTCTAGAATGGATTATATCTGCGGTTTATGGA